CTAGTAAATTCTTCTATTTCAATGCCCAATCTTTGATTTTTTTTATTTTTATTTTGGTATCCACTATCACATGAGAGTATAAAACACCGACATGCTTGAGATCATCGAAGGATCATATATCCTATGGAAGTGCGAAATAAACAAAAAAAATTTCTCTATCTAAAGGACCCAAGATCATGCCTTTGAATCAACTAACTAACTAACTAACTAACTAACTAACTAATATATATATATATATATATAGACATATGAATTAAAATAATGAATAGAGAATTACCTTTTGCGGTGCGGATCTAAATTCTTTAGTAGAAAAAGTCATCCAATTGTTCAGCCTCTATTGATGATTCATGCAGTCCAAGCACCCATAAAGAAGCACTCAAAATTGATAGAGTGTAAGCTCTACCTTTTTTTATTTGGGTAGTGTTTCTTATAGAAATCTAATCCAAACAAGTTTGTGATAACCTAAAGAGAAGAGAGAGGAGGTGACATGCTAGAGTTAGGGAGAAAATAATTTTCTTCTTATTTTTATTTCAACCGTGTGTCCCCTTTTTATTTTCTAAGTGTGTCGAATTTTCTCTCCTTAAAACCGATCTTTATGCAGCACCTCTTCTCCTATTTATATAGGGAGAGTCTTCTTGTCCTCCAAGAATAAGGAGATGGGTGACAAATAAGTCATAATTAGACTTATGGTTGTTGCTTCACTTCCAAATTTGAAAACTCGATTTCTAAAATAGGAAACCTTCCATTTTAAGAAACTTTCCATTTTTGAAAACCTTTTCCAAAATAGGAAACTTTCTAAATTAGAAACCTTTTTCAATATCTTTGATTCTCTTTAATCATATGAATGTTTAAACTTATGTGTGTGACTCAATAAACTCCTAGATATGTTAGCAATGTATCAAGAATAAAAGACTCCTCTTTTATCTCTTGATACATAAATCAAGATTGGCCTTTAGCAAGACATCATGACTACCTAATTCTCTAGGAGGCTTAATTAATCCATTATTACCTTTCACAATCATGGTTACCATACAATTCAGCCCTCATGTCAACTTATCATAGTGTGATCTTGAATATGGTTATAAGTCTTGTTCGATTATGATTACGCAAGTTTTATTCAATTCCCAAATGTCTTAGTCGTTAGAGTAAACCAATTATGCTTTATTAGTGTACTCATACCGTGACCACGGATTCTCAAGCAAACATTCATCGAAGTACAATGTGATAAATTCTTTAGCATACGAGGAATGACATGTCTACCATAGTCATACACCTATTTCCATTAGATTCATAGTGTACCCAATGAATCCTCTGCGTATAACCCTTTACTAGGTCCATCAAAATGAGTGTCAAAGTGCATAAATCTTCTAATGAGATAACCGCGATGACTTCAAGTCTAAGGATCAGTTATACCCATCTCTTATGAGATTCCCATAGACTAAACCAAATGGGTTCTCATGACAAGTCAAGTCCGAGTGATATGTTCTCTAACATAAATCATCTAAGTGTTTGCTTTGGCATCACTATGCCAATAAGTGTAAGATCTCCTACTCGTTATCATATAGCATGAGCATACCACTCATAAGTCCATCCGCATATAGTCAATGTTCATTCTTGATAATACTACAGACTTGGGACGTTTAATGATATCATGTATATGCATTAATATTTGTCTCACATCTTTCGATCAATTACTATTGCAAATGCATATCATAAAGACTTCTATCTAATTCTATTGAATTAATAAACATCAAAACATAAGAATTAATAAAAAGACTTCTTTATTATTATTAAAATAAATGATGCAATGATACAATCACTCAAGCCCATCTAAACATGGTTAGATATTGGACACCCACACTAACAATCACTTGTCACAAGACATTTTATGATCATATGACGAGTAAATCTCAAACATGTCAATATTTCATATGAGGTGATTGTGAGTGCCAAAAAAAAAAAAATTCAAAATCTAAGCATTGAAATTGAAGAAATTATTGTTGGAGTATTGGAACAGGAATTTTTTTTTCAAAGTTTAGGTATTGAAATAAGGAAATTACCGATTGGGCACTAGAAAAAAAATAAAAATTTGAACACTAAAAATATAGTTTTTTCATTAATGAAAGTATGAAAGATTAAGTTTATTTTTCGTTGTTTTGAGGAGGATTAATACGTCCAAATATTCCATTTGTTAAGACGTATTATCCAATGGCTAAAAAAATTGAGACATTAAGGTGGTTGAAAATGTAAAACCATTTCAATAAAAAAAGTTATAGTATTTGAAATTAAATACTATACTATTCAAATAATAAAAATTTAATAGTTGCATAAGTTCCATCTATTTTTTTATGGTTTCTATTTATTCTTTTCGGTCTTTATTTCATCCTTATATGTTTATTTTTTGTTATAATCTCGTTTTTCTATCAACTTTTAAATTATTAGTGTTAACTTATTTTTTATTTATGTCGTAATCTCATTCTTTATTTTATTTTTTTGTTTTAATATTTTTTTTATAGAATTTAAATAAATAGATTAAAAAAAGAAACTAGAAAAAAATGAAAATATATACAATCATTCTCTATTAATAATTGAATGAAGTTAATATAAAAGGACAAAAAGAGAACCGATGAAAACAAAAATAAAAATACTTGTACAACTATTAATCCTATTAACAATTGAATTAAAAGAAAAAGAGAAACAATTTTTAAATAGAAAAAGTAATAAGAGAAAGGCTTTTTTAGTACCCAACCTTTGATTTATTTTTTTTGGTACTCAATCGTTGATTTCTCATGATTTGCTACTCAAGCATTGATTTTTTGTTTGTTTTGGTGCTCAAGTTTACCCGAAGTCCAATTTTGCTTACGCGTTCAGCGAGACCTACCATGTGACGATAAAAAATACCACGTGACGATCAACCTTACCATGTGGTAATATCCTACCACGTCGGCATCTCATATCCTCATGTAATTATGGGCACTTAAATAGAAAAAAAATAATCAAAAGTTGAGCATTGAAACATAAAAAAAAATTAAAAATTGGGTACCAAAAATGTAGTTTTTTTAAAAAAATTATTGTCTCGAGATTGGAAAATTAGTCTAATAATTTATAATAAATATTTTTTATATCATGCTTATGGCATTTTTATTTATTTATCAATGATAATTTTTAGTACTCCGTATGAGTTAAAAATTACATTTTAAAAACTATAAAACCTTTTACATCTCTAGAAAAATTTAAAATTAAGTCATTTAATTTAAATATATATAAGGTCCAATTAAGATTAAATGTAGAAAAATAAAAGACTAATAAGATCCAATTATGATTGCTATTTATGGAACAAATGGTTGGTCAATAGAGAAAGTTACAAAAAATAAAAATTGCTTCCTTTGTCTAGAGAGAACATTAACCAATATATCATGGTTGACATAAGCTTGCTATAGCCAATAACTTATTGAATTTCTTATAGTAAGCTAAGATATGAGAGAATCGACATTAATAAGTTTAGTTATCAAGTTTTTTTATTTGAATGTTTAAAGTGCATTATTTTTTGTTACAATGATGATAATGATAAAGGTAATAAGTAAACCGTGAATTAAGCTAAAAAGTAAATGCATTGTTAAAATTGCTTATGCAATTAGCATAATATCAAAAAAAAAAAATTCATGCATGTAATTGTTGATGTTTTTAAAATTTAAAATTATACGACTTTCAATATCAAAAAGAAAGTTTTGAGAGATTATATATATATATATGTGTGTGTGTGTGTGTGTGTGTGTGTGTGTGCACGGAAGGATAATAAATGTATGAAATCTATTTATAATAAAAAAAATATATCAAACTACAAGAAGGTCATAGACATCCGATACGAGAAAACTCGAAATAAATTTCTTGAGAAAACTATATTTTTGGTATACATTTTTTCTATTAAGGCGCACCATGTTTTTTTTTTTTTTTTTCTATTTCAATGCCAAAACTTTGATTATTTTCCTATTTGAGTGCCCATAGTTATTTGAAAGTATAAGGTGCCGACGTGGTAGGGTTGACTATCATGTGACAGGATTTTGATTGCCAAGTAGTTGATCTTATCGGACACGTCAATAAAATTAGACTTCGAGTGAACTCGGACACCAAAACAAACAAAAATCAAAGTTTGGGTAATAAATCATAAGAAATCAAAGGTTAGGAAAAAAAGAAAAAAAATAAAATCAAAATTTAGGCACAAAAAAACTCGTCTCAAAAAGTAATCGATAGAATTTGGAAGCTAAAAATTGTCGCATTGGAATTCGATTTCTAGATCAAGTTTTTTTATTTGAGTATTTAAAATGTAATATTTTTTGTAGTGATAACGATAATGACAGAGGTAATAAATAAATTGTGAATTAAGCCAAAAAGTAAATGTATTGTTAAAATTATTTGTGCAATTAGCATAATAACAAGAAAACATACATGTATGTAATTACCGATGTTTTTAAAATTTAAAATTATACGACTTTCAATATCAAAAAGAAAATTTTGAGAGATTATATATATCTATTTATAATAATAAAAAAAGATATATCAAAGTATAAGAAAAAGATAGACATTTGGTGTGAGAAAGTTGAAATAATTTTTTTGAAAAAAACTATATTTTTGATATACATCCATTGATATATATATTTTTCTATTAAGGTGCCTAATCTTTAATTTTTTTTATTTCAATGCCAAAACTTTGATTATTTTTCTATTTAAACGTCTATAGCTATCCGAAAGTATGAATGCTAACTTGACGAAGTTGATTGTCACGTAGTCGATCTCATATGTGATATTTTTTGATTGTCACGTTAATAAAATCAGACTTCAAGTGAACTCGGATACTAAAACAAATAAAAATCACAGTTTGGATAATAAATCATAAGAAATCAAAGGTTGGGAAAAAAAATCAAAATTTAGGGGGGGGGGGGAAAGCCTCCCTCAAAAACGTAATCGGTAGAACTTGGCTGCATTGGGCTTCGGTTTCTAACATGTCTGGTATCGCAAACCCAAAAGTGAGTGGGCGCGGGTTGGCTCGATTCGAATTCTTGAAAACACCTCCTTCAGGCGGCAGCAGCAAGCTCATACAAAAAGTGAACAGAAAACCCCACTTCACTAAAGCAACAACAATGGGTGAGGAGGATATCGAAAAGCCTAGTAAGAGGAAAAGAAATGGTGCCGAAGCCAAACCAGAGAAGCAGTGTCAACGTTCAGCGAAAGAACAAGAAGTAGCTGACATTGAAGACATGTTCTCTGATAAAGAAACCCAGATAATCAGAGCCTCATTGCTTGACTGGTACGACCACAACCAAAGAGACCTTCCTTGGAGAAGAATAACACAAACAAAAGAAAACCTATTCATAGAAGAAGAAGAAGAAGAAGAAGAAGGAGAAAGGAGGGCTTATGGGGTGTGGGTATCTGAAGTTATGCTGCAGCAGACCAGAGTTCAGACTGTGATTGATTACTACAATCGTTGGATGTTAAAATGGCCCACTCCGCACCATCTGGCACAGGCTTCTCTTGAGGTTTTAAACACTTTTTAACCATAAACAAATTCAATACCTTTTTTATTTATCTAAAATTACTTATTGATTTTATTTATTTATTTAGGAAGTGAATGAGATGTGGGCTGGTTTAGGGTATTATAGGCGAGCCCGGTTTCTGTTGGAGGTAAAGCTCTGGTTGATTGGTTTTGTATTTTTTGAGTTTTTGCTTGCGTTTCTCTTCTTCTTTTGCTTTCCTATAACATAATTTCAATTAATATTTGATCTTTTACCTTAATTTTTATTTGTCAGTACATGTCTTAGAGTTTCCATGTTTTTATCCAGTTAGATGGTTAAAAAGCACCGGTCTTTTCTTCCATGCTTAATGTAAGTGCCTAATTTTGGAAAATCTTTGTTCCACGTACACCCTTTGGTTTCAATTTTTTTCTTTTTTTTGAAGGTTTATTTGCTCAATGTCGTGGACCTTATGTAAGAAAACTGAATTCTTTGAGGAGAGAGTTCTTCTTATATAATCTTCATTGTTTAGGGTAGAAATTTTAGAGTTTAGGTGGAGCTCTTGTATAAATAGAGTGGTGCCATATCATTCTGAGCTGCAGTGGGAAGTTAGACATCAATGGTCATGTTCAATGGTGGTAATCGCCTGTTGGATTTCTCTGGTGTAGCTGATGTCATTGCTCCAATGGTCCATGAAGCTCCGTTCAGGATAATGGGATGACACATGGGATTTGATATACCCTGGAATAAACTTTATATCTATTAATTTCCATTAGGGTTTTTTATTTGCCTTTTTTTTTGGCATGTCTATTGGCTTTTTTAAATTGCTTTCTTTTGCAAGCTAGGAGCTTTTCTGACTGCATTGGTGATTGGTCCCAGTGCTCTATGTGAGTTTTGAATAAGAAATGAAACCTCAATTCAAACTTGTTCAATCTGTGGGAATAAATGAAAAAAAGAGGGTGACAAAGAAAAGGGCATGTGTTTTCTCTTAAATAGAATGTGGATGACTATTTAAATAAAAGAAAGAATATTTTATTCTTTACACTTAGAAATCATTTGTTGAGCCAAAGGTGACCAATTTTTAGCTTCATTTTGTTATGACTTTTAGGGAGCCAAGATGATTGTAGCTGGGAGAGATGGATTTCCTAAAAAGTTTCTTCCCTGCGGAAGGTTCCAGGAATAGGAGACTACACAGCTGGTGCAATTGCCTCTATAGCATTCAAAGAAGTGAGTAACTTTTATGTTTTTTCTTTTTGAATTATACAAGTGGAAGTTTTCAAGATATGCTATGTCAGGTGGTGCCAGTGGTTGATGGGAATGTAATAAGAGTACTTGCTAGGTTGAAGGCTATTTCAGAAAATCCAAAAGACAAAGTGGCCGTCATGAATTTCTGGTGAGCTTTGGGGCTTTCTACAGTTTATTTTCTTCAGTTCAGAGTTTTAGCCTATTATAGTTTGAGGGACAGTAGTTTTACGATCAGATAAATTATCGTCTCCAATGCAACCTGATTCATGTGGAAGAAATTCGTTGCCCTGTAGATCATGCTACTGCATGTATAGTGCCCCTGGTTGCTCTCTTTAAGGATTCAGTACACCTTCAAAAGAAAACTTTTTATCTCCCCGCTATCAGTCTGGCAAACTGCTGTCTCTTATATTCATAGTTTGTAGTACATAACTGTCAGTCTGCACCTGGCATTTACCTAACCTCAAAGCAAGGATTATTTCTGCATTTTTTATGATTGCTCATTTAAAATCCTTTGGTCAGGAAACTAGCAGGTCAACTAGTTGATCCTTACCGTCCTGGGGATTTCAACCAGTCTCTGATGGAACTTGGTGCAACCTTATGCACTCCAGTGAACCCAAGCTGTTCTTCATGTCCTGTTTCAGGCCAATGCCGTGCACTCACAATCTCCAAGCAGGATAAGTTAGTTCTGGTCACAGATTATCCTGCTAAGAGCAAAAAGTTAAAGCAACGGCATGAATTTTCTGCTGTTTGTGTTGTGGAGATATCTGGAGGTCAAGACCTGATTGAGGGAGACCAATCCAGTAGTGTATTTCTTCTTGTAAAGAGGCCAGATGAAGGTTTGCTTGCTGGCCTGTGGGAGTTCCCATCTGTGATGCTGGGCAAGGAAGCTGACTTAACCAGAAGGAGAAAAGAAATGAATCACTTTCTGAAAAAATCATTTAGACTTGACCCACAGAGGACATGTAGCATCCTTCTGAGGGAAGAAATTGGAGATTTTATTCACATTTTCAGTCACATTCGTCTTAAGCTTTATGTAGAATTATTGGTGGTACATCTTAAAGGTTTAAGTTCCCTCCTACTCCCCTCCCCTCTTTTCCTGTGCAAATGTTGTTTGGATTACTGTTACTATTTTATCAATTTTTCAAATTTCGAAATATTTCTGGTGTCATTGTTGGATAATGATTATTCAAGATTGTTGATGGAAACAATAGTTTGTAATTATATGGTGATATGTGATACTTAAACCTATAATCTCAGGATGACATAAAATAGGCATTTTGGAAAATATTTTTTGCCTGTCTCATTCATTTATGGTTTGTACATGTCTTGAGACTATAGCTAATGCGGACCTAATTTATAAGATATTCACACATTTTTACCCAATCTAGCCTGTCTATTATCTGCATCCTTCACTTGGTTTCTTTTTGCTTGCAGGTGACATGGGTGACTGGTTTAGTAAGCAAGACAGAGAAAATCTGACCTGGAAATGTGTGGACTGCAAGACCCTTTCAAGCTTGGGATTAACGTCTGGAGTAAGAAAGGTAATGTGGCATGACGATTCAGATTCACATTAAATGAACTGATGACCAATTAAAGTGTTCATTGCAGAACTAGAGGGGATACTGGATAGTGAAGTGGTTAGTCATTCTTATTGATAAGCAACAACCCTGCGACCCTACTTACATGTGCAGTAGGCTTGGATTGGAAAAAGAAAAAAATTATTTTTTCATCCTTTATATAATCTAGATGGCTAATTTGGTGATTGGATTAATCCATGAAATCCTCATGCACTTCATTTCTGATTGGGATTTTATGGTTCAGATCACTGTAACTGGACTTTGTGAACCAATGAACAGATATTTGGGAGGCCTATGTACTGATTGGTATTCATGGCAAAACAACATCCATTGGTCTTGCTTAGTTGATGCCCAAAGACAGCTAGCAAAATCCCTACAAATTACAGAGTTTTAGGGATGATTTTCCCCTCATATAAGCTCCTGTTAGATTAGAATAATGGTTGCAAATTTCAAACCTCCTGATTGAAAAAGTTAAATATCAACGAAGGTACACTCTCAAGTTGGTCCATACCCAGGCTAACTGTTGAAAAAAGGTTACAAGCCAAGCATTGACAATACATTCCTCATTCAACCATTGTTTTATAAGGTGCTCTTATTTGCTTTATAAAATTGATTTTCCCTGACAGCGTCTTCTTTGATGCAGGTCTACACTATGGTTCAAAAGTTTAAGCAGAACAGTTTGTCCTCCGTTTCTGCCTCAGAAAGAAAAATAACCAACTCAAAGAAACTAAGATCGTCCTGAACTGGAACTTGCTGCAGTTGATTGGTAAAGAAAGATCCTTGGTCATTGTACTAAATTAATGAAAAAGGTTTTTTTTTTGTTTCACGCCTGCTAATAGACTCCATGATTTATTTATTATTGGCTTCCATATATATCTAGCCGCATATTATTCTTGATGGAGTAAGATGCATGCCTAGATATATCTTGGCATTAAATTGTGATGCTCCGATATTTCGCTCCTGCAGAAGCAGCATCTTCTGCCTATTTTTGTATACCAGGCTGTAAGTTGTAGTGGATTTTATTTATTAACAAAGAAATATTTTGAAATAAGCTAACTTCCTTTTTTGGGCAATCGGAATGCTGTATCAAATGCATGGAGACACTATATATGTGATAGCTGGCTTCTATAAGTAGAGAAATTAAGCCAATATCCGCCTGAAAATCTGCATGCACTGTTAACAAATTGAGGAATTTCATGTTGTGGACTGTCGGAAAGTTGTCCGTTTGATGTTATAAATTTAGTGAACTAGAAAGCTTTCTTTAATAAGGACCTTTTTTTTTTGTTTCTGGTTTTGTATACAAATACGTGCTTACTAAGTAGCTTGGGTTTTAATGTGACTTAGAGCATCTTTAATGCTCTTTTTATATTAAGATTTTTCATTATAATAAAGAGGTTTGGTTCAAATTGTATCTCCAATGCTTTATTTATCACGATCTCTAATTTTTAAAATTGACATACAGAGTGTTTTTGGTTCTTGAATACTAAAGAGTCTAAATGATTCTTTATTTATATTTCATTAATGAAAATTTTTATTTCTTATGTCACTTACCCTTTTCATCAATAATATCTTTAGGTTTTATGTATTTTGTCAAAATAAAGAGTTAAAATAGAAAATAACATTAGAGAAGATATTGATCTTTAATCTATATAATTAATGATGTTCTTTACTTATATTAAAAATACTAATTAAAAATAGAGAGCATAATTGAAGATGTTTTTAGATATTGTTTTCCCGTGTATTGGAATGTTGTTTACAACGTAGAAGTTGCCAACAAACGGTTGGCTATGGTAAACCATCTCGTCAATCGTGCTCAAGAGTCTTGGTTCGAATCATGGCGTTTTATTCTTTTGTTGGTGGCAATTTTACATCTAATGTTTTTATTCCTGGAAATATTATAAACTTTAACCCTGACATAAGTACGGTTGAGGTTCATTTAGACGTGTATAGATGCTATAGATATAGCTAGTCGATTTGTCGGATATAAAACGGATTGAATTAAATATATTTATTTTAATTTTAATAATCGATATTATGCTTTTAATTAATTAAAATATATTAAATATAAATAAAAAATAAAATTTTATTTTATTTAATAATTTTTAATTAAAATTTTATATTTCATTTACTATTCTTTATGTTTTTTTAAAAAATAAATTTTGTTATTAAAAAACATAATTTGTTTTTTGCTATACATTCATGTAATAATATAAATAGAAAATTTAATATAAAAAATTAAAAATTATTTTAATATTTTTTATAGGATTGCATTAAAAAAAATAAAGCAATAAAAATTAACTAATGATTTTTTTAAAACGTTTTTGAAAATATATGCATTCGATTTATATATATTTATTTACAAAAAATCAATAATATTAGTATAAAAAAGTTGCATTTGAATTTATTAGGTGATTCATCTAAAACATTATTTCAAGTATTTTATTTAAAAAATCAATTTTAAAATATTAAAGAAAATTAATAGCAAATGTATGGTGTTATGTGTTTAGAAGCATAGTTAATTTGTAATAAAACCAATGATTTTAATATTTTTTTATATATCTTGATTATACTTAGTAGGTGATATGTAGTATAAATTAAAAAATATATTTTAAAAAAATTTAAATAGTAAAGAATATATTGAAGCAAACAAAATGTAATAAAATCAACTAAAAATTTTATTTCAATAAAATTTAATTATATCAGGAATAAATAAATTAAACACTTGAATTCTATTATTTATTTAAAAAAATTATTCAAAAATTCATAAATAGAGAAAAATAAATCATATTTATTAAAAAATAAAATTACATAAAAAAGAATAATACAAAATCAATTTGATGAAAATTTTTATGAAAATGACAAATTGAAGAAATCAATTTTAAACAACAAATATAATATAATCCAATATATATGTTAATTTTAAATTCTGAAAACATGAATGCCTAAAAATATTATTTGAAAACATGAGAAACCAAAAATATTTTTTTAAAAAAATGAGTAACCAAAATGGAATACAGTAAAAACACAAGGTGCTAAAAATATATTTTAAAAACATGACGGATCCAAAAAATATCTTTTCAAAATACCAAGAAGTAAAGTGAAATATAATGTAAAATTTGCATATAAATGCTAAAAATTATGAAAATACCACCATTCAAAATTATCAAAATTGAATAATAATGCGTGAAAAAAATGAATAGTAGTAAAATGAAAAGGAAAAAAATGTTGATTAAAAGACCATTGAACCATCCATCAACTCTTAGGTTGGATATCTCGTTTAGTGATAGTCTCTCTGTCGTGTAAACCAGGAGTTCAGAAAATTCTCGTGTTGAAGCCTGGTTACTTCTTAAGAATTGCGTCAAACCCTTGTAGACATGTGCAATTTATGTTGTACAAAAAAAACAATGAAGATAAATATGTAAGTAAATATAGCTAGCAGACACTGACTGGTAGTGGATGGTGGACCACTAAGGGTCTTAACTTTCAATTATCTTGATTTTATTTCATCATATGAAATTCATATATTTCCAAAAATAAAAATAATAAAAGAAATCAGTGGCATATATTCCATCGAGTATTGTGTGGATCAGATGACTCTCTCTTCGACTTTGTATTGATTTGCTCTCCACTCACTCTGTTTTTCTTCTCATATAAGAAGCAAGTGAAATAAAGAAAGACGTAAAATAGAAAAATGGGTGATCATTGAAAAAAGAGAGTAGAATAATAAGAAAACGCAGGGTCATTAAGCAAGCTTCTTTAATGCATGTAATATTTAAAAATATGGCAACAAGAGGTGGAGCAATGGGAGTTTCAAGCTTCCCATCATCACCTTCATGTTTCAGGAAGAACGGCGGTGCCACCTCCACTACTACCCTCCATTTGGTATGTGCCTATTTTTTGAGAAATGCATGCAATCATTTATTCATGAAATATCACAAAAATCGCACTTCTTTAATTGTGTGTTTATTCGATTTTATTTTAATCTCTCTTTTTTTTTCCCTTTATAATCTGGTGTTGAACAATTAAATCTCAGAGAAGAAAGAAGTAAATGAGGCTTGGTTGTGGTGGGTTTTAATTCATTTGGAAATTATTTTGAAGTCAAAAGAAAGAGAAAGAAAAGGAAATTAAATTCAACTGTACTGAGCTTTTAGTTTTATAATTTACTAAATTTTATCTGCCTCAAGCTGTAGGTTGTTCCTTTGCTTGCAAAAATTGCAGAAAGAAAAACCTAAGAATGTTGTGATGATACTTAAAGAACACAATCTGGGACTTTAAGACGGACAGCTTCTGCTAGTCCAAACTGGCTTTCCTGAGACTAATTTTCCTTTCTGGAACATGAAAATTTGAGGAAGATCCTTTCCTTTTAGTTGGCCTTTAGAGAAATGAAATGGAGTGTTCTATGAGTTAATCTTTTAACGCAAAGACTAACGTTTGTATGATCTGTGTAAATGAGTTCAGCAGATGGCCAGCAAGTTAGTAGCATCGAGAAGAAGAATTACGTGCTCTGCTGTGCAAGAATCGTCCACTTCCGCCGGTAAGCTGCCACATTCTTGGTACATAGTAATAAGTGAACCATGTCTGATAAAATTCAATGAAGAAAATTCTGATTATTTTTTAACGGCTCATTAGTTGCTGCTGATGCAAAGGAGGTAACGGCAGTTGAAAAGAAGGCACCGGCAAAGCCCAAAAAGCTCCGGCCAAGCCACTTTCTCAGCTGATGGAGGAGGATGTGATCCCTTCTCTGAGAGCAACTCTTGAGACTCAAGATGACATCACTGAACTCGAACTATCTTTTGAAGACAACAGAGTCAGTATTCCACTTCCTTTCATTGCCTAAAATGTCATTAGCTACTGAAAATTGTTCTAACCTATTCACATCAATTTTCTTTCCGTTGATATATGGAACATGTCAGTTGGAAGGCTCCTTTCTAAAGAAGGGCACTCCTTATTCATTTTGGGCTTTCTTCCCTAATGGAGTCCTCACAGGTACTTTTATTTGATGGCAGCTTGAGAGTTAAAACTATAGCCTATCAAAATTTCATTTTACACGTAACAGAAACACCTGCCATCATTTTCTTGTTGCGGCAGGCGCAAAAGGGTTTTCTCTATCATCCTATGGTTCGGAAGTCAGCACAGTTGAGCCTTTTCTGATCGATGAGAAGAAAATTACGGAAAAACACATAGTATTTTGGGTGGAGAAACGCTTGGCAGCTCAAGGAATCATTCCTGTGTGGAAACGATAGTCCCTCACAAGTGTGAAGTTCCTCCAATTCATTCTAGATGATGTAAGATTAACAATCACAATTCACAATTGTTTTTGCATTTTTGTTCAATTGCAAAGATGTTACATACCGTTTATGTAAGGTAGAGACTGCTGATATCTAGTTGCATCAAGCCCGAAAAAACAGAGAGGACCACATGAGGGGAGAATAAAGTGAGTGACGAAATGACAAAAGATCTGTAAGGAAGCCAGTATCCCTGTAATGCCAAGTCAAAACTAGTTAGGGTGTTGACGAATATGAAACTGCAATTTACGTTACTGCAACTTATAAATAGGGAAAGCTTGATATAATCACAGTAAATTCCATGAAAATTCTTGGGTGGTGCTTTTCGGACTCAACTGGCCTCATCCTACATCATTTGCAGTTCCGTGATTCCATTACATCATAAAAGTACTGCAAATGCCAATTCATCCAAACACAGAGATATGCATGAGTGCATAAAGAAGACCGGTATAACATTGAACACATAGGAGGTACAGTATACATAAGTCATAAGTAGCACATTCTCACTTTGCAAGTACAATGCCCACACAGAAGGACCATATAAACTACATCTCTAAATAAGTTCCATGTTTTGATTTTAATAAACACTAAGAAAGCATTATATGATTCCAGATCCAGACACAGCATCATCTTGAGCAGTGATATGGTAGTCTTAGTTCTCATAACTGGCTTTGGCATTCTGCATTGCACGGCGAAGTTCGCTTAAGAAGTCCATCTGTGGACTATGAGCTCCAACACTGTTCACTGGAGACATTATCTGAAAATCAATCCAATAGCACATCACATGAGAGTGAGAGAGGAGTCGGGAGGGAAGGAACGGGGGGTAGGTGAATTTACCTGATGAGGGAGTTTAAATTGTCCCCATGCAGATGTGCTGCTTCCTGGATACATAACTGGTCTTTCTGAACATGAAAAACAAGAAGAGAGAGGAACTAGAAATCAATAAACACATCACCCAATGTATGATACCCCACACAGGCATTCTACATGGCTTTTCTGCAAGGTTCTAGCAATATATTAACTGTTTTTGCTCCACATGCAAAGAAAGGAATCGAGCAACACAGACAGGAGAGTGGAAAGGACTATCATATTACAAGAGAATCAAACCAAAACAGAAGACCAGAGCGCTCACACAGCATACACCCAAAAACTACCAACAGCACCTAAAATGTAGAAGTAAAGTTGCAAAAAGCTATCCACTTGAGACGGGCCAGATTTGGGCCTTTTGACAACTTTAACTATAGCAGCATAGGTTTCAGCCACCAGAAAGACACTGATGGATATCAGAAAGACATCAAAGCAATGCTGATGGCACCAGACACTACCATTAAAACATAAAGGACCTGTGCAATCCTGGTAACTAGATGAAAACACTAGCGCTGGTTCAACCTATAAGATCAATATCATAGACATCAACAGAAAGGGGCTAAAATACAACTTGTTCAACTCCTTTCCTCTTTCATTTCAGAACTCTTACAATCCATACAGACATAGAAATACTAAAAGATCCATCCAACAGTCACCAACGTTAACATATAACGTTATAAAGGGCCTTTTCAACATAACATCTTTTTATCGGGTATAGAAACAAAATGCAAAAAAAATCCAGCTTTTATACGGGCAATGAAAAACACCAAAAATCAAACAAAATATATAGCTCTTAGGTAATTCCACTCACCAGATAAATCTATTGATGTATCATTGAGGCTATGCATTGTTGCAGCCCAACCTGCACTTAAGAATAAACGGAAAGGCAGAGATAACAGGTTATAAATAGCATTCAAATTGCCTAAAATGATTGGCTTGAGCATAGTTAACCTAGATTGGCACTCAAAAAAAGCAACTAACTTCCCCCTTTTTTTTCTTTCTTTTTTTTGTTGAAAGGAACAGCAGTAGTGTGTACATACGATCATTCAGAAGCTGAGAAGCGTCACTGCGACAACATCCTTCCAAAGGTATTAAAATGGGACGAGGGTTGTCACTGAGGAGCCTGCTGCTTCCTGTATCACCATGATCTCCTACTGGAATATTATTTCTCGGATTACCATGTGCTTGTTGCTGATTCTTCTCTCCATCATTTGGATAAACACTATTACCTCGATCAAACCGATCTGCAGCGAAACAAAATCGGAACTTCAATTTATAAGTTTTGATTTGGAAAATTAAATAAACAAAAGAGAAAAACCGACCTCCTGATTTGCGTCTATTGACAGAACGGTTCCTGAAAAATAAAATTAAAGGTTTTGTGAGAAATAGAAGAGGATAGCAAATGGAAAAAAGGCAGCGGAGGAGGGGGCGGAGGCGTGCCTTTGATTGGGCGGAGCATAGCGCTTGACAGTCGTGGAATCTGAAGGAGGAGATGCGACAGCAGGTGTAGGGTTTTCCAGCATCTCTCTCAGTCGATGAATCGGAGTCTCACCGCTACACCTTACCTGGGGGAAATCAGGTAGGATCCAGAGGTGTGCGGGTTTGTTTCCCACGCGCCTTTTTTATCACTTCGCTTCCTTATTAGGACTACTCTATTTATTACGCCAATAATCGGTCCGGAAGTCGTCCCAACACCCAAAACAATTTGATTTCATTTTCGTCCTCCTTGTTTCACTTATTTTGATCTAAGTCCTCGGTAACTCTTTTAACGACTCCGTTAAATTTGCATTGACAAAACCTGCATGCCCTGGAGTTTTTGTTTTTTAAATCAAAGTTGTCGACAGATCGGAAATTCTGACCCGTACATCCCAACTAACTAGTATTTAGTTAGAATCGAGATTTTAACCGAAATGATATTGACTGTATTTTATTTCGTTTTTTGAGACGGAATGAGAAATACCGACAGTCGATGAAAGTCTTGTTTCAATTTTTGATCATCAAATATCTATGACTATAATTTCTAACAAAAGAAAAACACATTTCAAATGGGTAGGTAATAAAGGGAATAAGAGGCTGTGTTCGTGGATAGCAAAGTAAAAATGTGTTAAATACTCTTTATTTCACAGAATAAGATTAGTGATTTGAATCTGCGCCAAAACTACATATTTTCACTGGGCTATCAAGATTAAGTTATGATCAAAGCCTGAGACGACTTGCAAAACTTCACAACCTTCTAGACTGTCGAGCATAATTGGTTCAGCTTCATCACAAGAGCTCCCTAACCCAAGCCTGCCGTCCCTACCACAGCCCCAAACCCACACCTCTCCTTTAGCTGTGAGAACGATGGAATGAGCTCGCCCTCCAGACACTAAAATAGGAGTTTCCCCTGCCAATCCCTCAACCTCCATTGGAACATTCTCTGCCCCTGACCTTCCTAGCTGGGAACTCTGATTCCATCCCCACGAAACGATACTTGAGGCGTCGCCTTTACCCTTTGCTGATTTAACTTGGCAAATTGCCAGAGAATGGCCAAGGCCTGATGCTATAGCCGACGGTGGGAAGCTTATATCAACCGGAAACAATCCTATTTCATGGTTTGCCCTCCCCAACTGTCCATATATATTGCTGCCGGAGCTTAGTAGAGTGCCATCACCTGAAATTGTACAGCAGCTAAATTAAATAATAAGTGCACATTTTTACACATTTTGACATGCGATGAACAACAATGTAATGTCGTTGCTTACGGCGAAGAACCAAAGAATGATCAAGCCCGCATGCAATGTCTACTACTTCAACACCTTTTAGTTCTTCCACAGAACAAGGATCCCAAAGTATTGGCATGTCTTTTTCTTTCTCCATTCCTTCTAAAACCAGTCTTTCAGCAACTTCCATTGTTGATTGTGTGGTTTGTACTGCATGTTTAACTACATCCATACTTGAATCAAGTGGAGACGCCTCTACAAGGCCACCCATCTTTCCTAACCTACCATCAGCCAGATAACCCCAGCCAAACAATTTTCCATCCACAGTCTGCGCCAGAGAATGCCCCCAACCAAATGATACCTGTTGAAGAAAATTGAAATCAAGAAACTTCCAAGCTTTCGACTTCGAATACTTGAAAGTTCAAACATTCTAGCTATAGTTATTATATCGACATGGGGCGGCCTTGTGCTGGCGTTACTTAAGAAAAGAGAGAATTCTACCTTAGCTATCTTTTCACCTTCAAGTGCTTCCACTTTGGAAGGCACCGAAGCCTCTATGATACCTTTGCCAAGACCAAGCTGTCCACGCTTAGACTTTCCCCAAACCCACAAAGACCCATCATCTCCTATTGCCGCAGAGACAACACCAGATGCAAATGCAGCAGCGACTTGCACTTGATCCAACCCTTCTACTCTCTTTGGTTCATTCCATGTATCTCTGCATCAACCAAGACTCATGCAATTGTTTAATGGATCCTTTGTTCCTTGTTTCTCGAATTAAAAACTGTGAAATTGAGGAAATAAGACAAACAGTTGGCAGACAATTTGTTTAGTGAAAATGTGACCTAGGAGAAAGGAGGCCGCGGCCGAGCTGGGCTTCGTGGTTGCGACCCCATGCCCAGATCTGTCCATGAGAAGTGACGGCAAGTGAGTGGTAGTGTCCCGCACTGAGTGAGGTGATATCAGAAGGAAGACCAGGGACGGCGGTGGGCTCATAAGCATCCATACCGTGGCCTATCAGAGAAGTAGGCAGTCCCAGAGCTCCATGGCTTCCATCCCCAAAGCTCATTACGACTGTACTGCTGCTCATCCATCTTGCTGGTGAGCTTCTTGTAATTAGATTCAGCAGTTTCTGCTCCTTTAACCATGTTCGAATTCGAATCATCTTCTGTCTCTTTCTCGTTTCTGATTTATGTTTTTCTTGAGCTTGAAACCGGAAAATGAAAAACCAACATGAAACCAGCCCAAAATCATAGTTGGGCCTGGCTTCAGGCCAGAAATAACTGGGCCTTCTGAGCCCATAATTTTTAAGATGAAAATTTTAAATTACAAAAAAATAAATAAATAAATAAATTTGGAAATTGGCAAGATATCGTCCATGGGATAATCTAAGATTTTTAAGTAATTCAAGGGGCAAACAAAAAAACGGGTAATGGTTAAGAGGCAGCCATGTGGCAAAGGAGATTCTTACACCCTTACACTGTGATGGCAATATCCTCCATCCAATCAATCAATCCACGTGTGAATTCTCTGTTGGACAACAAGATCCTAACCTCATTTAATAGTTGGGCCACATTTCATGCCAGCCAAGGTTTCAAGCCCAAAAGTTTTGGTTCACCTTTATTTTGCCCTTACTTCCTGCCTTGTTTAGTTTATTGTAGGTTTCATTGAGCCAAAATGGCTAGCCTACGGTGAGATCATCGACGGACGATATGCCATGTTGGGAGCTGTTGGTGCCATTGCACCAGAAATTCTTGGCAGTGCTGGGCTCGTACCTCCAGAGACCGCCCTTCCTTGGTTCAGGACTGGGGTGATCCCACCTGCCCGGACATACAACTACTGGGCAGATCCATTCACACTGTTTTTGTTGGAGATGGCACTCATCGGATTCGCAGAGCACAGAAGATTCCAGGACTGGGCAAAACCAGGTCCCATGGGCAAGCAGTACTTCTTGGGGTTTGAGAAATATTTGGGAGGGTCTGAAGAGCCAGCCTACCCGGGTGGACCCTTGTTTAACCCACTTGGGTTCGGGAAAGATGAGAAGTCGTTCAAAGATTTGAAGTTGAAGGAGGTGAAGAGTGGCAGGTTGGCTATATGTCGGCCGTCTTGTGTGACTGGAGTTGGACCATACCAAAACCTCTTGGATCACTTGGCTGAGTAGTCCACAACAATGTCTTGACCAGCTTCAAATTTCATTAAAGCGCATATTCTTGCCTATTTGGGGATACGAATCACCCACCTCCTACTCCTTTTCCACTCATCATTGCAACCATTGTTTGAAAAGCTCTGCTGTAATTTCTGCAAGAAATGACATGTTAAGGGCTGAGATAGACTTTTAAATCTTCCTCTCACGTTTCCCTAAAAAATAATGAAGCAGCTTGATGGCCGTAACAGGTATGAGCTCGGATTCTATAGGTGAAGCTAGAGATCGAATCAAATTGCTCAAATTTAAAACTATAGACCATAGACTAATGTAGTTATACATTGAGGTCATCCAACACGTACACACAGGACACACCTATATGCTTGATGTAAAAGGGTTAGTAACGAGTTTAAATTCTAAACAGCTCTAGTACATGGATGCTTGTGATCGCGCCTGACATTTAAGAAATTTTCAAAATTTTTATGAAAAAAAAAAAAAATTAAGGAATTTTTTTTGGAGTCGACACCTAATTATTATTAAAGACTAATAAAAAATCTTAAAAAACAATGCATTTAGAAATTTTAGTTAAGAGTTGGTTATTTTAAAAAAAATAATAATTACCGAAAGACATATTTTTTGAGAAAAAAATACAAGATTTAGTCTAATCCTATATGTCATAACTCAAAAGTTATATTTATTTTATGTTTTTTTTTGTATATTTTGTTTTATTTATTTTTACTTTATTTGCTTTTTATTTTATTTTCATATTTATTTTGATCTATTTTTAACATTATTAGCTTTATGTTTATTTTAAGGATTATCTTTTATTTTTTAAAAACATTATTACTAATCAATTCATCCAAAAAAAAAAAAAAGAAGGGAAAATTAAAATAGAAAAAAATATAAACACAAAAAAAAAACCACAAAAAAATCTTGCATGAAATGATTTATTAGGGGTATAATTGAATGGAATAAAGGCTAAAATTAAAAACAGCCAAATTTTATTTTATTTTTCTTTTTGGAAATAAAGTTCAAAATCCAATAAAAATTAAAAGACTATAGTTGTAAATCATAAACATGCATCATCACCATAACTTTCAAGCTTAGTTTCTCTATTTTCCGTGTTAGCAACTGTATCGTTTAGGAACGAGTTTATTTTCACATCAAGAGCATTTGGACCACCAACGAAACCAATCCATCCTTACTTGATCAAAACTTACAACCTTTTCTTAAAAGTTACACAAATATCGATACTATGTCTAGTAGTATTAGAATGATTCTCATATTTTTCGTCTTGTTTGTAACCATTGAGGATAAGGGAAGTGTATCGGGCTAGTAGAGATTTAGGTGATCCGCCCCATACTTATTTGGGGCTCAAACATTTCATCCAATGAGAAAGATAAAAATGTTAGATGTTCATGGTTCTTTTTGTACTCTCAATTGTTCGGTGGTATGGGTTTTATGTTGTTGGTAGCTTGTTAAATATTATGGCATTTTGATAGGGCCTAACATTTTGAGGAAGTTGACTTGTTTGATATGTTTGTTTAGACAAATAAGATTGATTTTACTTGATTTGATTTGTATGATTGATAGATTTGGTTTGTTGGATATGGTTGTATTTAGGTTGAAAATATAGCTATTATTGTGGTTGTTGGGTTATATGCATGTTGGTTAAATGGTGGGTTTTGGATATTGTTAAAAATGCCATGGTTGTTATATCTTTCTCGATTATCCTCTTAATTTTTGTATCGATAGGATTTTGTCTTAACTCGATACACTTCACTCTCTCTCTCTTCTTGATACTACTACTTTCTTTCTTAAGATCATCAAGAACCTTCCTAGCTTTGATCGTCTATTCTATCATCTCGACAATGATAACAATGTTAGTGAAATTGAAGGAGTTCTAATCAAATACTTAAATTACGATGCCTTGAAAGTATTCAAGAAAATGGTAATCAACTCATGTTTCGAGTAGTGGCGGATGAATGCGGACTATCACCTTGCACCACCTCCGGGTGTGCTCCTAGATGGCTTCTTTTAGACCTTTTTCTATATACCCTACAAATGTGATTGATTTGAAACAACCTCTATGTAGAACTTGTATTGTTTTATAAAAACATATGTCGGATCCTTCCATCTTTTAATTTTGATATTGTCTAGTCGCATATACCAACTCAAAGTCGATCCATTCATGCTTTTATGGAAGAAATATGTGAGCGAGTTTTTCATCATGCACAACCTCGATCATCTTACTATAGTATACTTATAATTGAGTCATAGGGCACAAAATGCTCGTATACTTGGCAAACTCCGATACTTTAAATTTTTTGAGAATTACCACATTTTGCATCAAACACATCTCGATTACTCTTATAGGATCATACATATCAACTTCTTCTATAGCCTTCAAACGTTCTTTAATAGCAAACAACTTGTAAGAGTTGGGTTCTTCTACCATCCTAATCTTGTGAGTTTCTATAGCAGTAAGATCAATAGAGCGTGTGTCTCGCATCTATAAAAATTGTAAGCCCATAATAAAAGGAAACTATCTTGTAGGGATCATGTTTCATGAAAAAATGTGGTTGCTGTAGATTGACAGACGGGACTATAGATGGTCCCAACTGTGTATGCATGTTAGGTGGTGGGGTGGGGTATAGTATTCTTCTTTAAGTGTGACCTCGACACAAGGTGCCCTCTCCACTTGGTATTATTTGCAATACCCTCTCAAACAAATTAGTGAGACGAAAGATTTCTCCTCTCATAGCATCTACTTTTTCTAACAGCTGTTATGACTATGCTTTTTCTTCATTCTCCATCAAATGTCGATTAAGTCAAGTATAGTGTATTCGAAGAGGGAGTTGAAGTTTGATTGGATTACCTATATTTCAACATGTTAAATCTCAAAACCAATATATATAGTTAATATACAAGATAAATGCATGCAAAATGTGAATGAGGTTAGATACACCAAAACGATGTAACGAGTCTCCAATCACGAGTAATATCACAAAAACATTCTTGTCTTAATGAGTTCAATCTTAACGAATAAGATCTAACTTTTACGGCAGGATTCAATCAAAGCTACCTAGTCCTGAAAGCTTTAAAAGTCTCTAAATTGCCTAGATTACCGATAGGATAACCTAACTTCTAACCTTATGCAACAAAATGTATGAGAAAATCATTCCACGATTTGCCATATACATGAGGAGTTTTCAATGCAAACAAGAGTCCAAATGAATATTAATAGACTTTTGTCATACTTATTATCCAAATCTCTATCCAAATCCTAAAAGTCATTCGTACCTAATTCATGATAAACTTTTATTAAAATTATTTGATTTTTCACTTTTAAATTGCGTGACATTTTAAATTTTTTACAAAATTAATAAATAAAATATTATTTTATTATACATATAGTTATTAAAACATATTTTATATTCAAGCAATATATGAAACGTAATAAGCATAAATTATATACAAAAATTAAGTGATAAATCTGATGAATCTTCGAATTCGATCCGAGTCCGTTGGGATCCCAATCTAATTTCATATTTTTAAAATCTGATCCAAATTCATAAGATTCGATCTGATCTATTTTGCTTAACAAATCAAATCCAGATCTATTATGATCCGAATCCGACCTATTGACAACCCTACTCGTGGCATATCAAAATTATTAAGACCGTATTCTTTTCGTCATGGCAATAACAATAGCATCTGCTAGCAGAACACACACTGGCCATAAAAAATGTTACAAAACCATAAGGGCCCTCAACTTCAAATCACATCTTTAGTTTGCCATTGCCTAATCCTCATGAGATACAAAGATAAAGGAAGAGCATATCTCCTAAAATCAAGCTGCCTGAGCCACTGGGTCGTCTGCACTCAACGCCTCCTCCCTGAAAAACACATCAGTTAGATTGTAAAGGGGGAAATTAGGTCTTTTCTACAAGCTTTATGATTTTTCTCAAAACTAGCAGGTATTTAGTTCCTCAACTGCCATCGAACAAAAAGAGCCAAGGTACAAAAAACAGCTGTACCATAGCATTATAAAACCAGTATAAATTGTGAAGGCATGTTTACATCGATGCTCTTAAGATACCACACACCATATCTTTTATGGTGTAATAGTGTTACATGCAGAATGCCACCAGGCCTTCTGAAAATGGCTTCAAAGCTTCATACCAGACTAGGGATGGTTTCCCGTTGTCAACAAGACTGATTAAGTTTACAGGTGCAAAGATGGTTATTCCTTGCCTTGGAATATTGAAAAACCAAATAAGTTGCAATGACAGAAAAAGACAGAAAGTTAAGAAATCCTTACTCCCTAGTCACTAGATCTATGTTTTCTTCCGAGTGAAAGAAAAGCATTCTATACCTTTGAATTCCCTCTCCAACTTCCATTCTGAAAAAACTCCCTATCTTCACGGATGAGCCCACTTCCTTGGATAAATTGCTGAGCAGAGTCTGTGAGGCAGCATGTAAGACAATTTTTTACCATTGTATAAATCACAAGATGCGCACACAAACAAGACACATATGCACAAGCTTCTGCAGAGAGAGGGTGTATGTGAAAGAGAGAAGAGGTAACTATGCAATGGTGGTCTGAAATACCTTTACGTTTATTGTATCATTCACAGCAAATTTTTGCTCCAGCAGAACAACTTCCTCATAGTATTTACGCAAACGACCTTCTACCATTTTCTCTATGGCCATCTGAGGCTTCCCCGTACTTTCTGCCTGATATATAAAAGCAGAGTAATAATTAAAGTCTTCACATGGAAAAATAAAGCGATTAGCAAACAGTCAGGTTACATTAACACACCAAAAAAAGAACCAAAAACAAAGTAGATCTTATTCAGCATAATCATTAGCACATCCTTCACAACAGATGAATCTACATGTTAACATGCCTCAACCAATCTATTTTCTATAAGATACTGTATGGAGCATGACCACATAATATTTAATCTGCCATTAACTAACAAGCATCTTTTTTGCATCATAATATCATGCAGCAAAATGACCAAAGAAAAATAGTAATGGAAATTCCATTGGTCAATGATAGCTTAAACTGAACAAACAAGGGGGAAAAAAAGTATCTCCCACAGGAAGTTCCAAATGAGCTCATACTAATGAAAATCCAACTGAGATGAACATTGGAATTAGTAGCACCGATTCTTTTGTATCTGTAGTCCCTTTTTGAGGTTAATTCACAATGAAATCAATACTTTCCACAGCCCAAATCTACCTTTTTTAGTCAGAAAAACTTAACCCATATTTGTGTTTTAACACCATAAACAATTTCCTCACGCACTCCCCATCTTCAATTATTGCTGGTTAACTTCTAAGAAATGCATCATACCATATGATTTGCTACTGCCCATGTTATCATCTTGATTTCATCAATCTTTAATTGGATTTTTATATTTCACTGACTGCCTAGGATCCAATAGTATACATATCATCTTGCAGTACACTGTTGCTTCAGATTAATGAAAGAATCAACCAAATATGTAACATCTAAAACCACAAGTAACCCCTCAAATGGAAAAAAAAGTACCCTCATCAAAGCAAAGATGCATCCACAAGGGCAAATTTTAAGTTGTAAATGTCTTAGATGCAGCCCAAAAGCAAGGGTTGGAATTACAATATAACAAGAAAACACTTCAGAAAGAGATCTTCAAAAGTTCAACACAAATACCTAAAATAGGTATGAAAAATAGAACAAAGTAAGATGGACTTCTGAGATCTAATATTATGGTTAACCTGAAACAACTGACAGAGGTGGCATGGAGTCACAAGTCAGAATTTACCTGAGACTTAAGAATTTCACGTTCACTTTCTAATGCATGAGAGGGAACATCTTCCTTTTGCAAGAACAATGGTTTTGCTGCCACCAGATGCACTGCCAATTCTGATCCAACATGCTGGAGAGCGTCCAACTGAGAATTCCCATCCTCTATCTCAAGAGATAAAAGTCCAGCAATTCGACCCAAACCTATATCCGTGCAAACATATGGTGATGCAAACCAAATGAGATCCTTCGATAGCCCAGACCCTCTAGATCATATGAAAGGTTAAAAATCATGGCGTTTTCTGTTAAGCATTCTATGAGCATAAGCCAAGGGCTGTGTGTCTGAATGTGTGTGAATACAAGAATAAAATCTTCTATGAAAGAAAAAGAAGGCAGTTCCAAAACACTGTACCCGGTTGAGGACTAGTATGAAGGTAAGTGGAAAGAACACCAGGTGACGGTGCAGACATCAAAAAGGCCCTTCTGAGTCTTACATTCTCACCCATTATTGCAGCTACTTCTGTAATTGCATTTTGAACAGTCGTATCTCCACTTATTTTTGGATGTTCAAGATTTAGCTTCAACTCCTGATCAGGATAAAATTATTTACACATAATGATCCAAAAAATCTAATATCACTTACAGGTCCTAAAACGTTAGAGAACTCAAAACATACTTGAAGTCAGATTACCACAGTATGAGCTACCGATAGTTATCCCATGAACAGTAAGGGTAAACAAAGAAGTCTCATCTCACCTCCAGAGACTCAAGTCCAATAGGATGGACCCCAGAAACCAGTTGAGAAGCAATTTCAACGAGCAAAGCCTGCTTTGCTAAAGTTAAAGCCTGCATTAATCACCACAACAGGATACGGTATCCTACATTAAACAGCGAAGAACTTGCAAGCAACCTTAAATCCCCGACGAAGGCTAGTACAAAGAAAGGGAAAAAAAGCCACTAACTAACCAAGTACTGAAAAATTTCATTTCTGGCAACAAAGTCAGTTTCGCAATTAAGCTCAATAACGGCAGCCCTTCCCTCATTCTGAGCCAATGCAAGCAATCCTTCAGCAGCCGTCCTACCTGACTTTTTCATCGCCAAAACTTTCCCCCTTTTCCTCAAATCCTTCTGCGCCGCTTCTACATATACAGAACAATTAATCCACAACAACCCAAATTTTCCAATACAAAATTAAAAAAAAAATTCAGACTCCTCTTTCATCCATTCATTCTTATACCGATATCCCAATTGCATTCAACGAGAGAAGCCTTGACATCTTTGATAGGAGCACTAGTCCGTTCTCTCAGTTGCTTAATGAGATTCATTTGGACTGTGGCAGCAGGTGCTTGAGAACTAAATCGCCGCGAAAGCACTCCGAAGGCATATCTAAATGCAGTTTTGTTATCTGCAGACTGGTAAATTGGAGAGGCGGCCGCGGCAGTAGAATAGCTTTGTCCATATCTAGCCCCCGGCCTGGTACGTAGCATCATTGAAAGCGGACCTTTTGCATTTTTACAGAGAGCCATTTCTACAAATCCTACCAAGAGAACCTATTCCAATTTCAATATTAATTAAAGAAAAAAACAGAAATGAAAATATCAGACTAGCCAAAACCCACAGAATTAGTAGGGTTTAAGGATTTTGCCTATGGAGTTAGAAGATTTTTTTTCCCCTTCCAATTCTTTTTAATTACAATTATAATAAAGAAAAACTAACCTGAAACTGAAAGTGTATCAAAATCAAACAGAAATGAGGAATTGAGAAAGAACGGAGCGATGAAGGTATTAGTGCTGATTCCAGTGCAAAATGTTTTTTTTTTTTTTTTTTGAATTCAGTTTCAGCATCTGTAGAGCAGAGGCCTTCTCGTCTGCTTTGGGCTGGACCACTGGTAGTGTACTCCTGGCTCAGCTCAAATTGTCTGAGAACCACTTAAGCATATTATGATGGATCTTATTTTTTACATGAATGAGTTAATAGTGGAAATATATACAGTCTATTCTAAAATAGTTTTTTTTTTCCCTATATTTTCCGATTTCTCATTTCTCCTCGAAAGGAAAAGAATGCTTTTATTTCGGTGTTTTTGCAAAACTTTTTCAAACTCTTAGAAATTAGAAATTAAAATCATTTTCTGGATAGTATTTTAATTTTATTTTGATATTATTTTATTATAACTTTTGATGAAATATTAAATTCCATAATTAATTTAATAATTTTTTCATGTAATTTTATTATATAGGATAAGAAATTAATATTTTTCGTATTTTTTTTATATTTCTTTACCACTATTACTACTAATTAAAACACCAAAATATTCTTGTTTTTTTTTTTTTACTACTACAAAAAGAGTGAACTTGATGTGAACCCACTTAGCTTGATAGCTAGAGAACCCACGAACAAGAAAGAAGAATTCCCGAAAAGTCAAATCAGATTAGAAGGATATGGACGTCACACTCCAAAAAGGATAGAAAGGGAGTGATAAGTCATTCGAACGTCACAAGAATCGAATTAGACTCTTGATAAGTTCCGAGATTCAGTTTCGAAAGAACTAAAGTATAAATTTTCTCACAAAGGTTAATTTGATTCAAAGATTGATTAAATCCAAAAATACATGATGTTTTTATATAAATAGGTGTTGGAAATTCGGAAAGACTAAGTTGATTAAAGTTACATAAGATCTAATAATCTGAAATATTGGATCTAACAAAGTTTTTAATAAGACTTTTTAAAAATAGAAGAAAACTCCTTGAATTCATCATCTAGAATTTCGGCCCCAAAGCTTGATTTTGTTGACTTGAAAATAATGGTGACTTTTGGCTTAGAAGTGGGTTGATTATATAGTTGTCACTTAACAATCTCGGCCTAAAACATCAAGATAAGAAAGTTCGACCAGATTGGACTGTAAGTTTGAAACTTTCGACCCAATAGCATGGATTAAATTCACAAGGCTCAATTGATGTTCTTCAAGCATAGTGATGGAGAGATCAGCCCATTGATGTTGAATAAGCTCCTTTAAGAACTCATGAAACTTCTTGGTCATAGTCCTTGTGATTGGGGCTAATGGAATGACTAATGGATCAGCCTCCTCAAAACCCAAGCCTACGACTAGCCTCTTGATTAGCATTTGGATTCTCATGAGAACTCATATAAATTATAATGAGGAAATCTTGAAGAACAATAAAGGATGTTTTTCAAACTCAAGTATAAATCGAAGAATTGATAAAACGTGTTTTCTATTTTTCAAATGAAAAAAAAAAAATCTTATTCGAATAAAATATTCTATTTTTCAAACTCAAGTTTAATTGAAGTATTAAAAAAACACGTTTTCTATTCTTCAAATGAAAAAGAAAAAAGAAAAAAGATTCTTATTTGAACACTATTTTATTTTTCATTCTCCATAGAGATAATATTCTATAATAATAGTAGTAAAAAAATCTTATTCGACACAAAATATTGTACACTCCATGTGAAAAAAAAGAAGAAGCATGATTTCATTTTGCTATTTTTTACATCCTTGAATTTTTAGAAAAAAAAAAAAGCACACTTGTTTTAGACTTTTCATTTAAAAAAATTAAAACCAAAACCTTCATTACAATTTTTAAAACCATTTTGTTTGGTTTTATAATATTTTGGCAATCGATTTTTGCATTTTTTAAAGCAATAGGAAAATACCTTAGATTTACTCATGTGTTTGTGTCAATTATTTATTTCCATCCCTATATTTTAAATTTAATCATTGAACTTTTGTGTTCTTCGAATTTATTCAGTTAGCCCTTATGCTGTGTAAAACTATTCAAATAACTAATTTCTACAAGTTTCAATCTTAACTATGTATGCCAATTATGTAGCATTATTAAATATTTTTTATAAGATGATTTATTATATTTATATAGGATTTATATCACTTCATAAGTTATATTGAAAAATATATTAAAAATAATTTTTAATAAAAACTCGAGAAAATAAAATATCCATTATTAAACCATTTTTTTTTAATCGATTTGGCTTAGTTTGCTTCAAAATTGCTTTTCATCGACTTTCATTAGAAAGATCAAATCATTCTCTATCTCTAAAAACTTCAAGAAAATAATGTTTTCTTTGTTATTATTTTAAGTTTATTTAGCTTTTAATTAGTTAGATATCTCGCGCTATGCCGTAGTCAAACAACTATTACATACATAGGGTTAATAATTCGTATGGTACGGTACGAATAAAAGTTTGATTTCGATGATTAATGTAAATTGAATCTATATATTGATTGAAATCGTTTGATTTATATATATATTTATTAACAAAATATTTAATAATATTAGTATAAATATTGTGTTTGAATAATTGTGAGGTTCTTTCAAAATATTATCTAACTTATTTTATTTCAAAAAATACAAATTTTAGAATATGAAAAAAAATAAATAACAAATAATTGGTATCATGTGTGCGGATATATAGCTAATTTCTAACAAAACTATTATATATATATATATATATATATATCGAATAAATAGAAAAATGTACAAAAAAGTCCACCTAAATTGTATGAAATATATTGAAGTCAATAAATAAAAATAAAAATTACAACAAAATTGATTCGATAAATTCCGAATAAATATATGTATAAAAAATAAAACTTATGAATTTTTTTAATCGATTATTATTATTTTTTTTATAAAAAAAGAGTCAAACTATTTAAAACATAATTTAAGCTCTCTCTCTCTCTCTCTCTCTCTCTCTCTCTCTCTCTCTCTCTATATATATATATATATATATATATATATATATATATATATATATATATATATATATATATATATATATATATAATCGAATTTATAAATTATAATAATATATTTTAAAAAACAAAGCACTCATTTAAAAAGCATAAAAATAATTTATTTTATAAATTATAATATATTTTTTAAAAATAAAGCACCGACGTTCTAAAATTTTATTCCAAAATTCATATATTAAAAAACTAAATTTATTAACAAATAAAATTATATCAAAAAATTAATTTGATGAGAATTTTAATAAGAAACAAATAATTGAAGAAATAAATTTTAAACAATAAGAGTAATATATATATTCAAACTAAAATCTTAAAAAATATCATATATATTCTATTATTTTCAAACTGTATGTAAAATTAAAAAAATAATAATTTATTTTCTATATTTTTTACACATAATTTAATGATTATATATATATGAAGAAAAAAAAAGGCCAGGCTGGCGTTGCTTGGGTTGAGCTGCAGCCAAAGCCTGCTCCCTAAGCGAGGGCCTTGGTTATTGTTCAGTCCAGAAAAAAAAAAATCAAACCAAAAGAATTGGAGCATAGTAAATAAACAGCGGTTACTATTCAAATATCTTGGTTCTTTTAGTTTTTTTTTTTTTTTAAATATACTAGTTAAATTAAAAATAAGTAATTTAGACAAATATAAGAATAAATTTATAATTTTTGCCAACAATAAACAAAATAAACAAATTTGAAAATTTAAAAAACATTACAAAACAATACCAAACGGTTGTTTCATCATTTACATGAACATTCCGTTTTCTCAAGGCTAAACAACCCTCTCATACTTTTGAAAATAATTGTTAATGCTCCTAGAATAATACGAAACTCACACAATAATTTTCCACATATATTAAGGTAATGCTACTCCAAAAGTATTCTATAATATCCCCTTTAATTGTAGACACAGTTTATTCTTTTTCAAAACCTTTTGATTTTACAAGTATTGATATTTTTGGAGCAACTTTGGCACATCAAGATTAATTCTTTACCCTATCCTTCTGTAAAAAGAGAATTTTACTTGGAGCAAATTTTTTTTATTAACAACAAATCTTTCAATAAATTAATTTAACTTGAGTTTATACATTTTTAATAAGCCAAATTGTAACGATTCAACATCTTTTTATTATCTGCGAGTAAAAAAAAAAAGTTATAATATAACTAATAATATTCATTTTAAAAGAGACATGAACACAAATAAAAAAGAGAGAATTAAAAAAAAATTTATATATTATTTTTAATAGATTCGATTATGATTTTTTTTAATTGTATCGGTTATTTACTTTTTTAAGCATTTTAAAAAATTTATAATTAAACCAGTAACTCAATTTTCTCCCTTTTCGTTTTGTATCTTCTCTCTCCTCTTTATTTAGCCTAAACCAAAGCACGCACACACACGATTCGTGCTTTACCGTTTTGTTTCAGTGATTTCCCCTTTCTTCTTCTTCTTCTTCTTCTTCAGTTTACCCACGCAAAAAGACTAAAAAATCACAGAAGAATCTTCCATTTCTATTATATCATCGAGCGAGCGAGCGAGAGCTCCGCGTAACGCTTTTGGATCGAGCTAGGCCTCTCTGAATCCGGATCCGATCTCTCTCCACCCGAACCGTTTGTCAGTTTTCTAGATCTGATTGAGGTAAGGAACCTCCTCCTCAAAAATTTAATTGCATGTGTATGCTTTATCTATGGATTTTAGATCTAGGTTTAATGCGATGGTAGTCTTGTTTCATGTTATGATTCGATGCTAGCATGGCATTGCAATTCTAATTATCTGATCCTTTTAAATTAAAGCTTCTTAATCAGATCTAACTATACTAAGATCTACGTACCGGTAGATGGTAAGATTTACGTGTTTATGTTAATTAATGGATCTATTATTGGCTAAGAGAAGTTGTATATTGAAAGTTAGTATTATTTTTGCGTTAACATCGGCGTGCTAGTTTTCGTGTCAATTCGATCAGCATTATGGGTTAAGATTAGGTTGAGTACTGACTTAAAGTTGTTTTGTTTTAATCCAGTGGGTTGTTTTTTACTGGTAGTGAAAATGAGGACGCCCATGATCTGCTGGGCTTTCCTTGTGCTGGTTTTGTTTTCGAACACATGCAATGGGTTTTATTTGCCTGGTAGCTATATGCACACGTATTCAACAGGGGAAGCTATCTTTGCCAAAGTAAACTCCTTAACTTCAATCGAAACTGAGCTTCCATTTAGCTATTACAGTCTCCCTTACTGCCAACCCCAGGCTGGAATAAAAAAAGTGCTGAGAATCTTGGGGAGCTTCTTATGGGAGATCAGATCGATAACTCTCCTTACAGGTTTAGAATGAACATGAATGAGTCTGTTTACCTTTGTACTACCAAGCCTTTGAATGAGCATGAGGTTAAGCTTCTGAAGCAGAGAACACGCGATCTATATCAAGTGAACATGATTTTGGATAATTTGCCTGTGATGAGGTATGCCAAGCAAAATGGGATTGACATTCAATGGACTGGGTTTCCTGTTGGGTATACGCCACAGAATAGTAATGATGATTATATAATCAATCACCTCAAGTTCACCGTCTTGGTTCATGAGTATGAAGGGAGAGGTGTTGAGATAATTGGTACTGGGGAAGAAGGTATGGGCATGATTTCTGAATCTGATAGGAAGAAGGCATCTGGTTTCGAGATTGTTGGTTTTGTGGTGGTGCCTTGCAGCGTTAAATATGATCCCGAAGTGATGACAAAGCTACATATGTATGACAATATCTCATCCGTGAACTGCCCCTTGGACCTTGACAAGTCTCAGATCATAAGGGAGCAAGAGAGGATTTCCTTCACCTATGAGGTTGAATTTGTGAAAAGTGACACTAGATGGCCATCTCGATGGGATGCTTACTTGAAGATGGAAGGAGCCCGTGTTCACTGGTTCTCAATCCTGAACTCACTCATGGTGATCTTTTTCCTGGCTGGTATTGTTTTTGTCATCTTTTTAAGGACTGTGAGAAGGGATTTGACAAGGTATGAGGAATTGGACAAAGAAGCTCAAGCACAGATGAATGAGGAGCTTTCTGGGTGGAAGCTTGTTGTTGGTGATGTATTCAGGGAACCAGATTGCTCAAAGCTTCTTTGTGTGATGGTTGGAGATGGTGTTCAAATTACAGGGATGGCAGTGGTTACTATTGTTTTTGCAGCCTTTGGTTTCATGTCACCAGCTTCACGAGGAATGCTGCTGACAGGAATGATTCTGCTGTATCTTTTCCTAGGTATTGCTGCGGGCTATGCTGCGGTACGCTTGTGGAGAACCATCAAAGGAACTTCAGAAGGATGGAGGTCTGTTTCTTGGTCAGTTGCGTGCTTCTTCCCTGGAATTGTCTTTGTTATCCTCACAATTTTGAATTTCATTCTCTGGGGAAGCCATAGTACTGGTGCTATTCCTATTTCCTTGTATTTTGTTCTTTTGGCCCTCTGGTTCTGCATTTCGGTGCCACTCACTCTCTTGGGAGGATTCATGGGGACACGAGCTGAGGCAATTCAATACCCAGTGAGAACAAACCAGATACCAAGAGAAATTCCTGCACGGAAGTTGCCATCATGGGTGCTTGTCCTGGGTGCTGGAACCCTTCCCTTTGGGACCCTTTTCATTGAACTGTTCTTCATTCTCTCTAGCATCTGGCTTGGACGATTCTATTACGTATTCGGTTTCTTGCTGATAGTTCTGCTTCTCCTGGTTATCGTCTGTGCTGAAGTGTCCGTGGTTCTTACCTACATGCATCTTTGTGTGGAGGATTGGCGGTGGTGGTGGAAGGCTTTCTTTGCTTCCGGTTCAGTTTCTATCTTCGTGTTTCTCTACTCTATCAATTACTTGGTTTTTGACCTACAGAGTTTAAGTGGACCTGTGTCAGCTATACTCTATCTGGGGTACTCACTGATCATGGCAGTTGCAATCATGTTGTCTACTGGCACCATTGGTTTCCTTACATCTTTCTACTTTGTGCATTACCTTTTCTCATCGGTAAAGATTGACTAAATTCAAAGTTGCCATTGGTGTCTGCTCCATAGTAAGAGGAAACTCTCTTGGTTCACATTTTTTGCATTTGCTAAATTTTAGCTAATCTTCTTGTGCTGTATTAAAGACTCTGTTGATATCCTGAATGCATCAAGGCCTGTTATATTTCACATGTTTTTCACAGTTAGAAGACATGATAGTAGTTTGTAGCTTCATTTGGGCTACGTTAAATGTTTTGATTATATGTCAGTTGCTCTAGAATGTTGTAATTGTTCTACTTTGTTGTATTACGTTCTTTCGCTATAAGAAAGTGCAAATGGCAGGCAATGCAATTCCTTAAAATCTCTTTACAATTTCATTCTTTTGTTGGAATACATCTTCCTTAGTTTCCTTAATTAGCGTTTCCAAAGTATTTATTGGCACCATTGTCGTCCAGCCTGGTTAGGAGTACAGTAGTGCATCTTCCTTAGTTTCCATAAACTATTGATATGTTTATTAGCCTAGGCAATTTTTTGTCCAGCTTTTAGAAGTAGAAGCGATGACCTGATCGTTAGAAAAGCATGCACTCTCGGATTTGTTTTTTCTTATAATCGGCTAGAGGCAGCTAAAAAGAGTGCTTTACTTACAAGCACAATAAATAGTGCCAAACAGACATGCCCGTTGTCGTGGAGGATTGGGTCCACAAGACTGGAGAAATTTTGGAGGAGGATTGGGTCCAAGGTCCCAAAACTCTGAAAGAGTTGTAGAGATTACAACTCTTGATCTTTCAGGCAAATTGCCTTGTGATGCAAGATGAAAAAATTAATTCTGTATACCTTATCATGCAAGATTAAAACTTGCTTTGCTTAAGGTGGTAAGGACGTGTTAGTACAGTCATATGCCAAAAAAGCCACCCCGTTTAAATAATTGGAATTCAAATCTGGATCTTGTAATACATTAATCCTAAGGTTTAGAGCCTTCTATTTCAGCAAGAAACAAAAATTCCTATCTTGAAGAAGGTACCGACATTCGGGCCAGCTTTAGGAAATAGAAAATGCAAGAGGACATTCAAAGCACTGACTTCATAAATAAAAACCAAAACACCGACTGCTGCAAGTTTATGCTTAGGTACTCACAATCCAGTCTTACTACTGTTTATTACTTAATAGATAGGTAACATTACACACAGTCACTACTGACGCAAAGGTAGAAATTCTTGAAAATGGCCAAACCAACGAAGCACTGATGATTGAATTTGGCCAGTCATTTAGAGGTCCCAGCACCTCCATCGGGATTGAAGCGACGATAGTCGATAGCTAGGATGTTTGCATCGCTGTCATCCCAATTCAGATAGCCATCAGGGTCCTCATCCAGTGCCCAAGCCGCATTGCTTCCTTGTCCAGGAAGTGTACTGTTGGAACCGTCCAGATATGAACTTGCTGAATGCTCGACTGGAAGGGAGTTGTTGGTTTGGAAGCTATCATGTTGTGCTTTGACTGCCTCCATTGAATTATATGCATAGCTTGCATTCTGCTCGTTCTGGTAAAAATATGGCATCAGAGGTCCCTCGTTTCCTGATCCTGTGCTGTTCTGTGCGGCTGCACCCCCAATACACTGGTTAGAAAGAAGCTTACATGCGTTGTTTATTGCTATGTCGAGGTAACTCCTATGGGCATGCACATACCTTTGTATAGCCCTCTGGGCCTGCACACCATGAAAGTAGAGGAACCGTAACTCTGGTAGAAAATTCAATGGAAAAGATCAAATCCCATTTCCTTAAGAAACAAAGACACAAAATCCTCAAACATGGGAGTAGCTTGTTAATTGCTGTTTCCATTAGCAGCAGCCAAGAATAAAATAAGATGAGCAGGAATTTATAGTTACCAACAAAGTTATTCATGTAACATTCCAAACGTAGCGGCTACGTAATCGATCAAACATGTACTATAATGCTTAGAACCGAATATCATTAATGAGATCCTTTCAACTTCAAAAAAAAAACCCAGAATGATTCTTACCAAAGGAGGAGAAGATACTTACCTGAATCTGCAGATAGAGGCTCCCTCGTTCTTCTTTCTTAGCCTTTGAATTGCCGTTGGGCTGACTATATATGGCATGGCAGCACCAGAGAACAAAAGTTGGAGCGGTTAGATTGATTGAAAACATAAAAATAAAACCCCAAATAATAGCAGAATAAGAGTTTTCCCAAATGGACAACAAAAAATAGTGATCATACTTCGTTGCTTCAACTGGGGGCAAGTTCACAGAGTTGGTTGGTCCTTCGATTCCTTGAGCAGCTGAGATATGTTCCATTCATTCAGTACATTCTAAAAACAAAATCAGGTTCATGATGAAATGCTTTACTCAAAGTTACAATTCTTTTTATCCTAAAAAAGAACAGAAAGCCTTTCATTTTGCATAGGAAGATCAACGATCGATGCTCCCTCCCTTTTTTCACCCTAGGTTTCTTGTATTTTTACTGATTTCTTGTTCAAAAGTTACTCTGTCCTTTCTACGTGAATTCCTTGACTTGTTCTTCTCCATAAAATTGATGGACTTGAATTTTAAGAGACAAAAGTATAATGACAGCTAAACTTCCAACCAGGTGCTTTTTAGAAAGACTCACCAGTTTTGCGTGACTCGCTGTATCGAACTGAATATCTGCCTTGTCTATACTTCTGCAATAATCATGTATTAGTAAATTAGCACCTCATATAAAATAAAAAAATTCACTTTTAATCTGAAATGTCAACAATGAGGAATAGATTCTGAAGTGTTAACATTCACTTTAGCAATTGAAAATAAATATACCTGGAGGTGGCTCTTGACATGGAAAAGGGTTAATCCCTCCACATCCATCAACTTTTGAACAGACCTCGGAGTTGCTTCTGCAAATATGATTCACAAGTCAGGACAGGAGATGCTTAAGTTACTGAAAAGATCTAAAAGAAGCTGTATAACTTGAATCAAGTTAATAAATGATGCAAGATCCTGAGCTATGATGGTTAAATACTTGAACGTTTGAAACAAAAACAACACGATTCATCTGCCAGAGACAGTATCAGGTCTCGGCTAGAAATAAATTTAGTAAATTTTTTGGATAATGATATAATATTCTAGGTTAAGTAATGAATTGTAAGAAACATAGAATTGTATATCATATGATTTATGAGAAGGATATGGGAACAGCATCAAGAGAAACTACACAGCATTGTCTCCCAAGTCCCAAATCCCAATAGTTAATCAACAAGCTAACTAAATCAAACACTTTCGTAACCAATCGAGTTGTTCAGATAACAAGGTGATAAGTATATTAATCAATCTGCCCAAATTGGGAGGATTTAAAACTATAAACGAAGAAGGATGTGAGAGATCCTTCCAATACTGCCTTGGGATCTTATCCTTCTTGCCAAGCAAAGCAAACACCCCATCCTTCACTTCTCATCCCTTCCCCCGTATCCATCCCTCCCCCAATCCCTCCTAACAAAATTGACCACTGTTAGCATACTCTCTTTTTCCCATTGCATTTCGGTCTGATGGAACCAAATCACACGAATATATGGATTGAACCTGATTGCAATTCTGAAACACACAAAACCAAAGGAAAACACAAATTGAAGCTGTGCACATGTCTGAAGATGAAAGCTGACAGGAAAAATAGGGAAAAAAACGGAGACCACTAACGGCTCTTTATGGTAAAGAATCATTGGTGCAATCCAAGAATTTCCAGATTCTCCTCTTAGACCATGCAATGGGACTATGAAAAATAGGGAAAAAAAAGGAGACCACTAACGGCTCTTTACGGTAAAGAATCATTGGTGCAATCCAAGAATTTCCAGATTCTCCTCTTAGACCATCCAATGGGACTACGAGAACATCTACGAAACCGACAAACATGCATAAACGTTCACATATTTTGAATAACAAATTTCTCATGATTTCCTTCTATCAAAACTACGGGAACATTTACGAAACCGACAAATATGCATAAACGTTCACCAAACACATTTTGAATAACAAATTTCTCATGATTTCCTTCTATCAAAACTACAGGAACATCTACGAAACCGACAAATATGCATAAACGTCCACCAAACACATTTTGAATAACAAATTTCTCATGATTTCCTTGTATCAAAACTACGAGAACGCGACAAACATTAAGAAACAAAAAATTAGTTAGTATTGAAATATGAGCCGACAAATTTACAATGCCGACAAGCTTGCTCTACGTGCATGCCAAAGGATCAAGTATGATCCTGAATGCAGTATATAAGAAACACTAGAGATACCAAAATCTCCAAGTAGGGATTCAACAGTGTAACGAATCATCCATTAACTAATGCAAAAAAGATATTGATCAGAATCTACCAAAAACCACACACGCGATTGCTAGATTACTATCACATAGTGATAACAGAATTGACAAAAGTGTTTCTACCTTTAGAAGAAATTATTAACAAAACCGCATCATTAGAATTAAGACGACATGCATGCTTCAAAATATCAAACATAGAAAAAAAATTATAAATAAATCATAACTTCATTATAGCATCAAACAGATCTCAATAATATTACAAGGATAGCATCCAGGGAAACTAATTAATAAAAACAACTGAGAGAGCATAAAGAAAAACATTCAAAATACAAAATTTGTTCCAAAGAAATCATACATCATAACAAAAAGGGTAAAAAAAATCCATCACAATTGCTTTCATTAAATTAATCTACAAAATATTAATTAAGATGAAATTAAAACTTATTAAGCAGAACACCATATAATAAACAGAGAGCACAGACAATCACCTGCACGCTAAGAGAACAAAGAATCAGAAAGGCACACAGTTGAGGGAGAATTTTCATATAATTAGAGTAACATATCTTTGAGAGAAAAAAATTACTTAGCACATAGACCGTAGTGCTTTATGCAATTATTTTCTTTAGAAGAAAACACAATATGATGCACAGGAAAAAAAGAGAGGCAAATTTGCTCCAGCAAAGAACGGTTCAAAGAAGAAATCTTTAACAGAAGAAGAAAAGGAAACAATGATTTTCAACAAGGAGTGCCTGATAAGGAAACTTCAGAAGTTTATAAAACAAGATCTAACCTCGCAAACTTCAAATCTAGATGTAAACAACTATGGATTCCCAAAAAAAAAAAAAAAAAAAACAAACAACTTTGGTTTATCAAAAGAGGCATGCAGATGAAAATCCTTTCTGATAAGAAATTTTTTGTGCAGAAAAAATAAAAGTGCAAAAGATGATCGTATAATTATCAACAACTAGTCATCTTTGGCATATCAAAAGAGACATGCAGATGGAAATCCTATCTGGGTAGAAATTTTTGTACAAAAAAGATTTGTTTTTCAAGAAAAGCAAAAAGAGATCTTATAATCATCAACAACTAGTCATCTTTGGCTTATCAAAAGAGGCATGCAGATCGAAATCCCATCCGAGTAGCAAATTTTTGTACAAAAAAAGCCAAAAAAGAAAAAAGAAAAAGACGATCATATGATTCTTTTAATCATAAATAATTCAGAACATGCATTGAGGGAAAAAAATCAACTTTTATAAAAAATCAGTTTAGAGAATCCCTTAACTCTTATTCGACATTAATTCAGTAACAACTAAAAATGAGAAAATAATATTTTTCTCCCAAAACTGAGACAAAGTAGCATCAATATAACACAATGAAGTCATCTTCATAAAAAAACAAAAAAAAGAAAAATCAATCAGTCTATTCAAACAAATAAAAAAATAACTTAAGTAATAAAATAACCAAATAATAATAATATATATTTATTTTTTTATCCAGGAGGGGGATTTACTAACTTTGAGCTCCACCAAGCTCTTTGACAGCATTAACGAAACATGAATGGAGTTCGTGCGTCCATCTAAGCCGAGGTTTCAGATCAGAAGTATAACTAATGCGAAGGTGATTATGAACTTCTTGCGGAGGAGGAGGAGATGGAGGCCGCTGCTGATCAAGCCCCTCCTTGTTGTTCTCTTCCTCTTCCTTCTCCACCACCACCACCTCTCCAACCTCCTCGTTGGAAGAAACAACAGCAGGGTGGTAACTTCCATTTTGGAGCACATGAGGAACTGGGGTTTCTAAAGTTTCTTGGAGTTCAAGAAAAGGATCACCATTTTCACTACAGTCACCGAATGGACCTAGGGGACCAAGTTGCGTATCATCATGCGCAGGATATGGGAGTTTGAGCTCAAAGTACTCATCATTAAGGTAACCATACCCAAAATCAAGAAGCCCTGATCCTCCATCATTTTCCTTGTCAAAACCACCCAAGAAATGATGGTTATTCATCGAAAAACTCCCCATTTCTCCCCCAAGAAACATATCCTCTTCCTTATGAGGATCATCATGACCTTCTTTCTTGTCACTCATTTCTCTCTGTCTCACGGCTCAAAATCTTTCTTATTGCATTTGCACTCCCAAAACCAAGACTCAGAGGCTAGAAATACAACGAGCAGACCCCAAATTTTACTGACACGGAGGGCCCCACCGTTATCTGGTGGGGCCATGGAAATTGAACCGTGGCAAAATATCAATAAATAAAAAGCTAGAAAAGTCCAAAGAGGGCCACAACAGCCACTTTGTATGCATTAGAGAATGGAAGTTAGACTTTTTGCACAAAGACAACAAGGAGATGAAACCGAGGAAACTGAGAACTGAGGAGAAGAGAAGGAGCACATTTCTTCTCCATTTTTTTTCTCAAAAAGAAAAAAAAAAAAGATAGCTAGGGTAACCTGATTAGGGCCGGTGACAATTGAATTGGAAGAGGGCAGGGGTGCATTGCAACCAGTCCATGATGTGTTGAGGTGGCATTGTGTAATTTGTGTTGATTGTGCTCGGTTGTCTCACTGAGAAGTTCACTTTTGGGTCTGGCACTCTGTGTTGGTGCATGAAAGGAAACGTGGAGCCCTTTTCTCTCAATTTGTTTGTCTTTGTATGTATGTACTCTTGGGGAGGTGGGTTTTGTAGAGAAGGCCAAGTACAGTCAAAGAAAATCCTCCATCCTCCATCCTTATCGTCTTTTACTTTCCTTTTCTTTCCTGAAAAGAGTCATAATCTCTGTTGTCATTATCATATAGTGGTAGAGAATAGGTTTTAGGATCATTTCCTAAAGATGGTTTGGTTTTAATGGTAGCTAATTGAAACTGGATTCAGTGCATCCTACCTATATAGATTTTCTCTTTTTAGGGAAATTAATTGGTTTGAACATTGAATCATTCGCATTTAACTATCTGATCGATTAATACATTAATAGTATGTAATAAAAATTAATAGGATTCCGGTACAATAATAGGAGAAACCATTTGGTTTTTCGATTTAGTTTTTGATTTTTGGTTAAACGAATTAATTAAAATAAAAATCAAAACCAAACTGAATTTGGGTTTTTTTTTTGGTTTTCGATTAAAAATCTATTTTTTTTTTTTTTTTTTTCTGTAAGAAATTAGAATTTTCTTTTGGACTAAGATGAAGCGTCAATTTTTTTCAAGTTTTTTTTCTACTTTCAAAGAATGCTAATAGGTTAAATTAAAGTTTTAAAAAAAAATTATAAAAAAATACTACGGTTAGAGTTTGAATGGTTTTCTGTCTATCAAAAATTCAGATATAATAACTTGAATAATGGCTATTCCTAACTAATTTGATACCAAAAAGCTTTATAAGTAGTGGTCTCTTGCAAGATGTTACGAGTTTAAATCCTAATAGACTAATTTTGTTAGAAGTTTTGAGTGTGTGTTAAAAAAAAAAAAACACTAATTCAGTTTTCAAATCGATTTTTTTTTAAAAAAAAAACCAAAGCAAAATAATTTTGATTTTTGATTTTTTTTTTAATTTTTTTTATACAAAACCAAACTAAAATTACTAATTTAATTTGATTAGGTTCTGTTTTTCTCGATTCTAATTAAAATATTTTATTATACGAAGAAACTAGAGTAATTTCTCATCTTGATCAATAATATTAATATAGCACCTCAACTTTGCTACGTGAATGACACATGACACATATTGATGGGTTGAGAGTGCAGATGTGAATTGTCAACTTCAATGGAAATTGATAGCAAATTTAATAAAGGGATTAATTTTTTTTTTTAAAAAACCAAAATGTCAAAGATGTAGAACTTTTTTGTAACCATAATTAACGTGAAATGCAACTCAAGCCAACCATAATTAACATGAGAGAGTTGTCCTCATGGTTAATGATAATGATATATGTTAATATTGTTTTCTTTTTTTCTTTTATGGATTCACCAATCTTTCATATCAGCATTTTATTAATAAGTTATTAATAAAATAAATCAATGTAGAAAATACATTTTTTAAAAATTTAGTCTTGAATATATAAATGGGTCTGATAACATTTTTTATCGATAAAATTAAAATCAGATCATCTTATATTGTAGAACATCCAAATAGTTAATACATTTTTTTATAACAAAAAATATTTTTGGTCTAATTTATGTGTGAAGCGACTCCAAAAAAAAAAAAAAAAAAAAATTATTCATCTAATTAATATATACTACAATCGAAAAAAAATCTTAAATCATTCAATAAATTAAAGTGAATAATTCATTAAATTACTAACTAACTTTACCCTTTTCAACAACACACTACACACTAATTTCCTTTCCGATAACAAAACAAAATAAATTGCCAATTACAAATCCTTCCTTCCCTCTTACAAGAAAAGAAATAGAGTAATATAATCTTTTCTTTCTTTCTTTTTAGGATATAAAAGCAAGCGTCAAACTAGCCGTTACCATTTCAAAACGCTCCCTTTCCATTCCCTTCCCTTCCCTTATTCTCTAAGATCTCCTCTCTTCTCATTAGGTAAAGGAAATAGCAGCCCTCGAATATCTTCATACTTTTATCTTCTTCTTTTTTGGGCTTTTGAATTAATTCTACCTTTGAGAGCTTGATTCTTTCTCTTGGGAGCAGAAAGCTAAAAGCAGAGAATAAGAATGTTTACGGAAGGTTTAGATGAATCCGCTATCAACTGGATCAAGCGGGTATTGCATGCTAATCTCTCTTTCCTTTTAAAGATTTTTTTTTCAAAATAAATAAATAAATAATAGCAATAATAGTATTAATTGATGTATTTGCAGGGATCAGATGTAGAAGAAGCTCAACTTAAAGTTCGATCTCCGCTATCGCCGTTATCAGCACAGCAGCTATCACCACCACCAGCAGCAGAAACAGAAAACCCATTTCCGAAATCTCCACGTTTATACAACAGCTCTTCCCATTTGTTGCCTCCGCTTAAATTCTACTCTGGGTTACTAACCCCTCACAGTATAGTCTCTCCGTGCCTTCAAAACAAAGACGACGACGACGACTACCACGAGAATGAGAGCGTGGCTTCAGTTTGTGATTACGTGAGTGGTCGGGGAAACTACACTGAAGAGGATGATTTTGAGGATGTGGGTCCTACTGATTTTGATTACTTGGAGAAGCCTGTGATGCAATGCTATCAGGAACAAGATGATGAGGAGATTTTTGGGGTTACTAGAAATAGGCCTACTCCTAAAACTAAGTTGAATAGAGGGGTTTTGAAGGAGGATTTGAAAATTGAATTGCCTGGTCACTTTAGAAGGCTTAAGACTAATATTGGAGTGGATGGTGATTTAGGGTTTAGAAGATTTAGCACACCCCAGAAGAATTCAGTGGGCTCAGGTGGTAGTTTTTCGCTTCGAGAGAGAGTTCAGCTACGCAATGCACACTTGGTAAGTTGGCTTTTTGTTTGCTTGTTCATCTCTTCAGTTTTCTATTTAGTACTGGTGATTAATGTTGGTTGTGATTGTGATTATAGGGTACTTGTAGTAATGAAGCGAAGGTGTTTAGGGCAGTGGAGGATGTGGGAACTCCAAGTGCTCCTCCAATTATGGAAATTGGAGGAGAAGAAGGGAGTGTTATGGTTGAAACAGAAATGGAGCAAATTGAGTATGGAGTTGGAAAGTCAAGAGAATCAACGGAAGGTTTAGTTGATCAAACATTACAATCTGTGCCAAGTACTGAATGTAATGAAAGGTATTGCAATTATTAGTGCATTAGGCAGTTAAGTGATCTATAATTGGCATTTCATTGCTTTATCAATCATTTACTATTTTTGTCATTGTTGCCACAAAAAATTCTAGCTGTAGCAATCTGCTGATTTTTTTTTCTTTTTGACAGAGTAAATAACACTGCGACTGGAGAAATGGAAGGAAAGATGCCTTATTGGCAGACAAGCTTATCGGACCATTCACCTTGTTATAACACGGGGTATGATATGAATTAAATTCAGCTTATTGATGCTATAGTGATACTTTTAGTTATTTTAATGGAGTTTAATTTCTCTGTTTTCCATTTGCATCACCCTTTAGGATTTGAATATAGAAACTCAATGCATTTGTTGCTGTGGTGTTTTAAATTCTGGATTTTTGATTGAATGTTGTCTGGAATATTTTCATTTTCTGCATCCTTTTGGATATTATGACTCTGTCCAATATCCATCTGAAGAGGTTTTTTCTTTTCTCATGCACACAACTATCAGTGTCAGCATGTGTTCTGATGGCTTGCTAGTTTAATTGTTGCAGCGGTCAATATGCCTGGCAAACGATGATTGCTTATGATGCATGTATCCGCTTATGTCTATATGCATGGGCCAGAGGTCGCACTGAGGCTCCTGAGTTTCTGCGTGACGAGTGTCTGATCCTTCGAAGTGCTTTTGGGTAGGATTCCTTATGCTTTAATGGTGAAAATAGAATATAGCTACTAAAAATGGTGAATTTTATTTACGATTAATATACAACTCTGATTACGATATATTTTGCTATTCTAATAATGTAGACTACACAAATTTTTGTTGCAACCACGAGGTATCCAACCTGTAGCAGTCAACACAACTAAAAGTGCAGAACAAATATGCCATTTGAAGGCGAAGAAGGTTCTTGGGAAGATAAGAGTCGAAGGTAAGATCTCCTATGTCATTGCTACATAAGAAAGTTGGATAATTAGAATGATGCCTTGGAATTTCTTTTCTTTAATTCTTTCCAGTTAATTTGATAATCATGTTTTAACTTCTCAGTTCCATGCTGTATTCGTAATTTGGTTATCTGTAGATTCACGTCAAGGATATTCATTATCTAGTCATGACAGACCAAAAGGATGTCCAATGCTGAGTAACTGGATATGCAATATTGAGAAAAAATATTTTTCCACCAAAATTAAACTAGAATTGTTTCTTAATTCAACTCTAAAGTACACTTGTTGACATTGGCAGTGAAGAAACTCCGGCTAATACCAAGGCGGAAACTTATGAGCACTTACTCCCAGCGTAGTGCAATCTACATGCAAATGGGGAAAGAGTATGCCCAGCATGTTTCATCGCTGGTGAAGAATGGCATGAGTTCTCTTAAAAGAGCTTCTTTTCCAGTGGTGACAGAAGGTTTGTGTTTTCTACCAAAACAATTGCAAACTCTATTGTTAATATACGTGCAACAAGGTAGTGACAGATCCACTTTTGATCACAGTTTAAGATTATCATTATGGTAAATGAATTATGTCTATATCCTAAAGAAGCTACTGTGGGTGGTTGTCCTAAAGTCTCACCAATCATGTGGATTTCAATTGTTTTGGCATTTTGATTTGTGGAAAATTTTAGAAACTTCTCTGCTACATTATTTCAATGGGCAGCTAAAATTACATTTTCATGTTTGCAGAGAAACTGACATGCTTATTCCAACTGAAGAGCACTACTGAAAATTCTCAAGTTGAACCAGCTTCGGCTATTTGTTTACACCCAGGAAGTGGGGAATACCACATCTTGTAAGTTCTGAACTTACTTTCGACTTGTCTTATACTAGGATAAAGTTGGCTGCTATGAATTTCTTTAAGTAATGAAATCATAATAGCATAAGACAGTAAAAACTGTAGACATGCCAGTCTCAATTGACAGGCTCGCAAATTGGGCCATTATAGTACCTGGAAAATATTATATATGGCCCAACAGATTTTCCTGTCTGTTCATCTATCAATTTTATACTTCTGAAAATCATATGGTTGAAAAAGTGAAAACACCGGTCACCCTCAGGAAACAAAGTAATGTATAATTTCCAGTATAATTGTTATGCATTGAATGGGAAAATCTCACATGTTTATGTAATTCAGTTTTCCAGAAAGTGAAGGGGAAGCACTTTTGGTAGAGGTCCAAGATAGAAAAAAATCTCTCCAAGGCCGAGCTACAATTGCTATTTCATCTTTCAATGATAATCCTGTATGTACCTTTTCCTGCATCTTCCAGCATGAGGTACTTGTAACTATAAAGAATTACTTTAGATGATGTGATTGTTCAAATTATGCAGAGTGACAGAATTCGATGGTGGCCCTTATACCATGAAGATCAAGAATGTGTTGGGAAGATACAGCTCTTCATTGGAAGTACCATTACACATGATGAGACTAACAATATTAAGGTTCAGTTTAGCTGAATAGTTATTACCTGATTATCTTTATGTCTACTTTTGGAATAACTTTGTTGTTGCAATTCTGCTGTTTTGTCTTTTCCCTTTTTAGTATAAATTCAATGTTCAAGTGCTAGAATATAGTATCAGCATGTGAATGTAAATGAGTGCCGCACAGGCTGGTCTTCTTGCATGTCATGTGCAGTGTGCATGCATTGTCAAGTGCTTTCATGTGCTGTACAAGTGTGTGCTATTATAATTATACAAAGTCTTGCATGGTTGGCAGTGCTTGCCTTGATTTGCATCCATAATTCCATTTTTTGTTCCATTAATATTATACAGAGTGGGCCTGTTGTGGAAACTCTAGCTTACGATCTACTACTAGAGGCTGCTATGCGTGCACAGCATTTTCATTCTCGAAATTTGAGATTACATGGACCTTGGAATTGGCTGTTGATTGAATTTGCAGATTATTATGGAGTTTCTGATTCATATACAAAGTTAAGGTGCTTACAAATGCAAATTTATTGAAAATTTCAATAGGTCTAGTAGTAGTTCATTTTTTTACCTTCGTCTTTCTATTTCCTTACATATCTTAACTTGTCTAAATTTCTTTTTAGATACCTTTCACGGGTCATGGACGTGGCCCTTCCAAAGAAAGACTGCTTGGAGCTTGTCAATGAGTTACTTGTACCCATTATGAAGGCCAGGAGTGAAAAGAGTTTAACAATGCAAGAGGTAGGCTCCTAATAATTGCTGAGATTGCAATAATCTCTTGAATGTATGCTTTCTAATAACTTTAAATTTAAACGAGCAAATGCGAAATGATCTGTGTTAGTAGGTGGAAGTGTCGCAGCATACTGAATTCAGGAACTTTGTTTTTGATGCTAATTTGGATGGAACCTATTGCCTCTCTCTGTCTCTCTCTTTTTTATGCTACAAAAGTATATTTTATATTTAATATTCGCTGCTAGTGACAAAATGAATAGAAGCAAAAGTTTAAATAGTGAAGCTAAATTCTCAAATTGTTTAAATACGCCTTAGCTTTTGGCAAATATAATAGGCCAAAAGGCTTTTGCGGTTCTCTTACTGATGAGAAAGGAACCTTCCACTCTGATTATGATTTGTTTGGGACATGGACGAAGCAAGTTCATCAAATTAAGGCAACACATTAACCAGTCCAAGAATTAGGCGAGGTCATCCTTTTGTGTTAGTGATTGTAGTAATTAGATATTCTATAGGTAACAGTTTGAAGAATGAGGAAAGAAAACACTTGACTTGAATGAGACATAAATACGAAGATGCTATGAAAAGAATTTAGTGAAAATCTGGATGTTATGCTCAGTCATCAGTTTTTGGGTTGTCGCTGAGGTTTTATATATATATATATATATATATATATATATGCTGACCGAGCTAGTTGACATCTTGGTATTTTTATTTACTATTTTTGTGTTATATATTTTAGAAATTGGATTGCTTTGCTTCCGATGACAAGAAGGGCATGATGCCATCTTATCTGAAATTCACCAAGTTATTCTATGCTTTATAAATTGTCCAGTTAGCCAAAGAAATTCCTCTTACTGTACTTACTGTATTGTTGCAGAAAAGTATATTTTTAGATTGCGAAACACGAATTGAGAGTCTTTTGGCACAAGTTTTTGAGAACTACAAATCACTGGATGAAAACTCACCCACAGGGTTGGCAGAACTGTTTGACCTGATGCAGGAGTCTGCAGCAGCAGCTCTTGCTGAAGCTGTTAAAGTCTACACCCTACTCCATGACATACTATCTCAAGATGCACAAACTATGCTGAGGAACTATTTGCAGGTAATTTAAACTTGACATCAGTGTTCTCAACAAACCCAACAAGATTAGGGATGTTTATTGTGCAATCTTCAGCCTCTTAATCTTCCAAGTCCATCAATTAGACTTCCATCAATTAGACTTACTCGCACATGAGTTACATTAAATATTCTCATACAAAAATCAAGTAAATGTCCGCATAAAAAAACAACACTCGCATATAAGTTCCATTAATGTTAGTGATCAGCTAAGAAAGGGTTTTATAATACCCAAATTCACACTCATTTCAGGCTACTGACTTCATTTGTGCTTTAAAATCATGTGTTGGGACTAGAAGTTTGTTCATCCTATTTTCACACAACATATGACAGTAGCACGATAAAACTCTAAATTAAATAAATTTTTTTTTTACAGACAGCAGCAAAGAAGAGATGTCGGAAACACATGGTAGAGACTGATGAATTCGTTTCTGGGAACTCTGAAGGCTTCCTCATAGATTCTATTACTATCTCGACAGCTTATTTAAAAATGAAAAATTTATGTCTGAATATTGGGAAGGAGATTCAGGCAGACATCAGGATCCACAACCAGCATCTACTCCCAAGGTATTGTTTATCTTTCGTATGTAAATAATATATCCTCAGTTGCTAATATGACCCAAAAATTTGTGTCTGGCTCCCTTTTGTATCATTTTTCCATCATCAGTGACAAATTTGAAATTCTATTCCTCAATCATTGTGACTTTCATTCTCGAGTTGGTTGTAGGAATTGGGTATTGAGTAAATATTGCACCCACTGAACTTCTTCATCTTTTTATGCATATCTTAACACATATTTCTCTATTTTCAGTTCAATCGACTTGTCGAACATTGCTGCTGCAGTTTATAGCACTGAGTTGTGTAACAGGCTTAGAAGTTTCCTCTCTGCATGTCCTCCATCTAGCCCGCAACCACATGTAAATGAACTACTGATAGCAATTGCTGATTTTGAACGGGATCTTGGGTTATGGAACATCAGGTTTGTGATGGAAAAATAATTCAAAATCTGTTCTGGTTTCAAATGAGTTTTAATGTGTTCCAACTAAGAAAATTGAAGACGAAGTGTCATTAATAACGTAGTCCAAACATGGTATCAAAATAATTTACAACCCAATATAGAAGTAGAAGTTGAAGCTCTCCTCATATCCTATATTATGTTTGTTTCAGTCCAGTGCAAGGCGGTGTAGATTCAAGGGGATTGTTTCACAGTTACATAATGGTTTGGGTGCAGGATATGCAAATTAACTTGCTTGAGCTTTGCAAAGCAGAAAAGGTATAGTCTCATGAAATATTAAGCACATTCCTGCCATGCTTCCTCTTCTTTGGACATAACTTTTTAGCAATGAAGTGTGCTAGGCCAACCATAAAAATCTTGGGCATGAAACCAGAAAGGTGCAGTTTTGGAGGGGAGTGTTGTCTCCAAATTTAAGTTAAAAGCAATACTCCTGTGTTCGGTCATAGAACATGATCTCTCTCATTCTCGCCCCCTCCCCCCAACAGACACACAAAACATAGAGCAAACTTGCACCAGCTGTACTTTCAATCGAGGATGTCGATTTTCTTTCTATGCTCTAACCAGTAACTGCCTCTTGCTGCAGGTACCATGGGCTGGAGTAACAACAAATCATTCCACCTCTCCATTTGCTGAAGAAATGTATGAGAGAATCAAAGACTCTCTTATTGAGTATGAGGTGGTTATCAATCGATGGCCTCGGTACTCCTTGATTTTGGAAAATGTAAGTGCTGACTTTTGTTTGCAAAATTTAGTAAGTTACAAGAAAGAAGCCTTTGGTACTTGCTTTTCCTCTTCTCCAAATTTTCTCACTTAGGCATGTGCGCAAGCCAATATTTGGATGGATTTTTCACTTTTACGCTATATTTTTTTGTGTCACTGCTAATTTTCATTTTCTAAATCTTCTCCAAGGCTGTCGCTGATGTTGAAAGAGCAATAGTTAAAGCTTTGGAGAAGCAATACAATGACATCTTGACTCCTTTGAAAGATAGCATTCCAAAGAGGCTTAATATGCAGGTCCAAAAGCTGACAAGAAGGCAATCGACATCACTTTATTCTGTACCTAATCAAGTGAGTACACACATGCACATCTGCACACAAACACACATGTTTTGCACTCCATGTGTGTCCATGTATGTCTTACCAATATTTTCTTGTGGCAGTTGGGAATTTTTCTTAATACCATCAAGAGAATTCTTGATGTCTTACATTGTAGAGTGGAGGACATTCTGAAGTCCTGGGCTTCCTATCTGCCTCTCGTGGGAGATAAAAAGTCAATTTGTGGGGAGCAGATGAATGGAATTACTGTTCTGTTGAGAACAAAATACAAAAATTACTTGCAGGCAACAGTGGAAAAGCTCGTTAACAATGTAAGCTCTATCTGTTGTGTGAGTTTCATTGTATAAATCATTCTTGTAAATCTAAAAATCTAATTTCCTTTAAGTTACTCGTGAAATAATATTTTACAAAAATCATATGATTGTCTCGAGGTGATCAGTAACGCTGCTCATTTATTGAATGATCAATATCAATGTGATATTAGCTAATCATGATTAGGTAACACTGGATTTAAAGAAGAAAAAAAATAAAAAACAATGGTACTAGAGAAACTCATTTAGCTTTATAAGCCATCTGTTGAATACTGATCATGCTGATTTTTTATTTTTATTTTTTTTAATCTCGTGGAAATAGGTGTAAAATTGTGATAACTTGGGATCACTTGTCTACTTGCATTCCTTGTAGACTCGACAAAACACAAACAGGCTTGAAATACTATAGAGTTTCACATGTTTATGGGGACAACTGGTTGTTGATAATTTTTACTTGGCTCATCGTCATAACGGATGCTTCTTCCTCTTGCCATAGTTGGTGTTCTTAGAATGCTAAAAAAGGAACTGTAACTTTAATGAAATCTTAATTCTTCCAGGTGCAAGCTAGTCGAAGCGTACGACTAAAAAGAATTTTGGAGGACATTAGGGAAGAAGATGGAGAGGCTGAGGTCCGGGAAAGAATGCAGATCCTAAGTTCACAGCTTATTGATTGTATATCCAATTTGCATGATGTTTTCGCTAGCAGGATATTTGTTGCAGCATGTCGTGGATTCTGGGATAGGATGGGAGAGGTAGAGAAACATTTTGTTCTAAACTCCGGATTTCACTTAGGTAATTCTATGTCTATCCTACATCCTAACGCTTTATTGTGTATTGTTTCAGATTGTTTTGAAGTTTCTTGAAAGCAGGAAGGAAAACAAAGTTTGGTATAATGGTTCCTTCTATGCACTTGGGGTAGGTCTTGGAGTTCATTTCTGGGCATCTCATGATTTGTCATCTCTGACCGTCTCACATGCGTAGTTTCTTGCAACAAACCCAGACTGCTTAAATAGTTATTGTTTTTTCTCTTGCAGATACTGGATGACACATTTGCTTCGCAGATGCAGCGATTGCTAGGAAACTCGCTTCAAGAGAAGGATCTAGAGCCCCCTCGATCTGTAATTGAAGCTCGATCTATTCTTTGCAGAGACACAGCAAATGGAACAGAAGCATCCACCTACTTCTATGTTTAGAGAGATTAATGCATCCATACAGGCCCGTACCGCACCAGGGTCAGCAATAAACCTGACAATAGTAGATGTCAGTTTTGTGGTGATCTCGGTTGGGTGGTTGTGTTACTTAAATACTGTGATTTACTTTAAGCAAGGTATATAGAGACCACACTAGTCAGCTTGCAAGTGCATATTCTTTTTGTATATGTTCTCTCTGGTAACTTTTGCAATATTCATATAAGTTGTAATTCTTTTTTACTTGATAATATAAAGGCCATAGAATTCCAAACAAAAGTTGTCACGTCATGCTTTTCACTTGTGTTCTTTTTTATCTCTATTCAACAGGGACCCAAAAAGGGGGGAAAAAAAAGACCGAAGATAAATGATGGTCCTAGTTTTAATGAACCTGCATAATAGCTCAGTGTTTCCTACAGCCCTGAAGCAACCATAGGCCCAAAAATATCATCGCTCTTCCGATTAAGTAAAAAAAGAAAGTAGACATAAAGCAGTAGGTCAGCACTACACAAAATATAGCAGAATACATCACTGGCATTACTCAATTGCAGCAATACATTTTTGATTAAAAATGCTACAGCTGAGACATTGTAACATCATATGAAGACAAGCCTTTCTACTAGCTACTTCACTTACATGGTTATGGGTGAAATCAACGTAATCAGGCAACACTCAAGTTCCTTTCCCTTGTTGTATTTGCTGAAGAAGAGCTGCTGCGAGCTGTAATGTTGCTTGCAGACGCTTCTGTGGATCTCCATCCACTTCTTCTTGTGTGCTGGCACTTTGCATCTGTGGATTACCCTGAGCCCCTGGCTGTAGCTCTTGTTTAACTGGGGGTGGCACTGTAGGCACATTTGATACCTGCTGCTGCAACTGTTGCAATTGACCGAACTGAGACGTTAGAATCTCAGAACCCACCTGACTGCTGTGCAAACCATGTGTTTGTGCCATTCCAAATTGGTTGTCAGGCTGATTCACTGTTGGCTTAAAATCCTCACTAGCAGATCCATTTGAATTATTACCCGATAGCCTTGACTGCCCTAAAAGAGATGATGCTAATTGTGCAAGCTGTTGTGGTTGCAAACCTGCAATAGGCAAAGACACTGGAACAGAAGGCTTGGTTTCCTGGAAGGTTGACTTACTGTTTCCAGATGCTGGATTGGTTGACATTCCCCTTGCAAAATGTGTAGAGCCATTTTCTTGCATTGTCCTTGGCAGGACTGAGTGATGCTCTGGAATAACAGGATCAATACTAGTATTGGATGCTTGTGATGGTACATTTCTATTACCAGAAACAATGTTAAGCGAATGGTGAGGAGACCAGTTGGGCTTTGACGTGGGGTTCCGCTGTTGGAGAGGATAATCATGCCTACTCTCATTGTAGGAATCGGATATACTTCCAGCAGGATTGGCCGAACTCGAAAATGCCCCAGGTGGAGCTGAAGAAGCCACATTCCCCAGAAAAGTTGGATCGCCTCTTGATCTACTCAAATCTGAAATAGGGGCCATTGAAGGAAACTGACCTGAAGGTGTTGGTGGCTTTGGATATGATGGATCCCTGTGAAAGGGCAGTATATTTGTATCCCTATTTTCATTTGGATGGTGAAGAGACCCAACATTTGAACCAGAATTCTCTAACCTCAAAATAACACCAGATATGCTCAATTTGCCAGGTACTCTCAGTACTTTCTCCGAGAAATCAGATGGAGGTACAAGAAACAAGGTGGTCTTATCATCCAATTTAGCAACCGCTGCACGCTGCTTCTCCTCCAGATAATGCATGAATTCATTATAGTATCCTATATCTGCATCACTAGCAGGTACAAAGAATACAACCCAAGCAGACGCTGCTTGATAGTAGTGTTTTGCAAGCATGTCTAGACCAGTTCTTGCAGTGCAATCCAGAAAATCAGGCCTGTAGCATCAATGTCAACGTTAAACAGTAATTCAGAACACAAATTCACTGAGTAGGTGGAAAAATAGTTGAGTTACACAATGAAATTGTCAACCATCACAAAAGTCCATTTTGTTTCCCCATGAAAATTGCAAGAGTGGTTAAAGGGCATCTCAAAGAAAATTCATCTTCACATACAACTTTGGAAAGAGTCATGTAATAAATATATTGAAACATCTATAAGACAAAATGCATGATCCGATTAAGTTCATAGTCAGATGATATCCACAAAAATAATTTGATATCAGGAAAAATTCTGCCTCAAATTTTCCAAAATCTGCCTATTAGCAGGCATTACAGTACTTGAGTCAAATCTGGTTGAGAGAGGGAAAAAAAAAAAAAAGGAAAAAAAAAAAAAACTAGCATTTTGATTTTTTTTACTTTGAGATCATAGATCAATAACTGAACATTATGAAACAAGGACAGAGAATTTAAAAAATGCATTGAATGCTTCAGTCTAAATAGCGAAGTTATGCACTCGTATGCTGTGGTCATGGAACACAAATTGACTCACTCTGTTTCCTGCACACATCTAACACCATAATGCACCATGCATGGAGTGAAAATACTAGTTCAGAAAAAAGGAACAACATAATGAAAAAGAAATTCTTTCATATGATGGCAGGAGGTAGTCCATTTCAAGGACATCATAATTACTACAAATAGAAGAAGCGGGCAAGCGGGAAGTAGCCACTTGGCTGATATCAAACCTAACCTGTGACTGAGTCAAACCTTGAAGAGAAGGGCTATTTACTACTTACAACATGATGTCTAGCGCTTTTCCCACGGGAAAGCAGCGAGCACGACAGACTGGAGTTCCTCCCTTTGCTATAGTCCCTTCCCATTTCCATAAGTTCAAAGAGGACTGTTCTGGTTCAGGAGTGAATCTTTTCCTCTCAGCACGATTTGCGGGCAGAGAACCAGAGCCAGCCTGGAAATCATCATAAGATACTTTCCAGGGGTCACTCCTTTCTCCAAGAGGAAGAGGTAAATTGATTGCCTGGTCTTGGATTGGTTTGTATCCAAAAGGTTCAGCCTCGAAGTTCTTATCAAATGCCTCTGTTTGGGGAAAATCAGAAAATGCCCTTGGGAAAGCCCTTCTCTCGTGTTCTAAATCAGAGTAAGGATACTCTGGAAGTTCCTGGTCAGGAGGAAAGGAGCCTGTCTTCAATTTCTTGGCTTCATGATACAGATAGGAATCTTCTGGCAAATCCCATGGTTCTTCATAAAATGGACCTTTCTGTGGAATTTTTTAGCAAATTCATGGAAGTGGCCATCCCTCCCTCTTGTCGGACTACCAAGGCGTTCATACACATCTGGTGGTGGTCCTAGTTCTTCCCCAAACCTCCAGTTATCAAATGTACTGTTTCCACCATGGTGCAAGGTTCCCTTCCTATAGATATCAGGATCCCCAGGATCCAAATCCGAGATGAAATGAGGAGATCTGATAATGGGATCTTTAGTTATGCTCCCAAAACTCCTATCCTGCCGGAAGTTCTCAGGAGCTACCTGGCGACCATTTGGCTTGTAATGTGGGGAGAGCGGGGTCCTTCCACTATTTGAAGACCCAGCTTCATTCTTGGCAAAACAAATGTGCACACGAGGGTTGCCAAATAATTTCCCTTGAAGAGTTTCTTTCGCCCTGCAAGCTGACATTAGATTTTTAAACCTGACAAAAGCATAACTACGACCTGGAAATACAGTGATCTTTTCGATCTCACCAAAAGGTGAAAAAGCCTTCCGTAAGATCAGTTCATCAACCTTCAGCAAAGCTGGAAAACCTATCCATAATACCTCACTAGGTTCTGCACTATTATCATTCATCTTGGATTTATCAGGGTAAAATGTGTCAGGGCTAGCATTACGCATTCTAGAGTCCCTCTGCAAGAAAGGGGATCCCCTTAATGTAAGGCGTTGTTCATCTCGTCGTTGCAAGTAATCTTCATCGTGTGATGGTGTTGATGACTTGTCCTGAGATAAGAATCTCATCAACATGTGTTGGAACCAGTCCTTTCTTCAACTAGTCATGTTATTTTAATTTCCAATTAAAATTCAATAAAAAGTAAATTAAAACGTTCAAAGCAACTAAGCTTCATGAATTGATCATCAAGCAAAGCATTGGTATATGCATTATTGCAAAGAGTAAAGAGAAAGAAATGATAACAACATGCACGTCCATAATTAACCTTTATGAGTTCCACAGACACCCCCTTTATACCAGAATAATGCAATCCAATCAAAAGAATTCTAGCATCAGGAGATGGGTCTCTGATGTAGGTTTTATTACTTCTTACCAGAAATTAACTGATTAAATAGGGAAGCAGCTAACAGAGCATTGAAAGACTTGGCTCCTAGATTAATTCTTGCAACCTGGGTAAACTAACTCTTTTCCTCGTAAGAAGCTACCAAATATGAGGTTGAGTAATGTGCCCAGAGAAATATGAGGAGAAAAAGATGTCAATCTTCTGGCTATAATATTCTGCTAGACTTTTGGATAATATTACATCATAATTGCTGTTGTGCTAACCTGGGAATTGAATTTTACTCGAGCGAAATGGATCACAGTTGTCACTTTACCAAAATCATGAAACATACGACTCCTTGAGTCTGGACAATTTTAAACAAAGCAGCCTCCACTGCGATACGTAAAGTCACACAGATTATTCTCAATATAGGTCGAAAAGTTGCCAGAGTTTTGACAGAGCATGACTGCTATTAATTGATGTGAATTTGAATTCCCCAGTTGGATTTTATTATTATTATTATTATTATTATCTTACAGACTAAAAAGCTGTCTTATGAAAGATATTAATGCCGTGCATGAAGATTGCAAACTGGGTCAATCCATGAAACATCCCCCATGTGTAAGCAGTCACTACATGTGCAAGAGAATGTGCATGTTTCATTAGATTTGGCTTCCCTCATGTTATCTTATTTTCAAGGATTTGGCGGCAAGGCATTGGATAAACCTTCTTGATTGTTACTGTTCATTCTGTTCTATGTGCTGTGAGAGACATCTGGAAAGAAGGTGAGGAGTCAACTTACGAGGATAGAGTAAACAACCATCAACAGTTACTGAATTACCAAAATCATTTGTTATTAATCCCAATTTCTGAAATTTTAACTTCATATCCTCCCTGAAGCATTAATAAAGGTATTTGAGGAAGACTAGTCTTAGAATATCACGTACGCATATTACTAGATCCAGCAAGTACAGAACTCAATATTCGAGGAGCTGTTAGCTTGGACTAAAGGTTCGCTATCTCTGAAAGGACATTCATATGCAGGTGAAAAGTTGTTTTATAGTTGATACCTAATAGTGGAATAACCCCAGATACCAAATAAAAACGAGCTCAATGATCTGCTAGAATGGTATACTTTCGACTGACGATAGTAAGTAGAACTGTCAGATTAGAATGGCAAAGCTCTTTTTAACTCACATGAGATTCATTTGCCATGTGTTGTGATAAATCATTGAATTTATGGATTTCAATTATCAGAAGCGTGGGGATTAGCAGCTGGAACAGGAAAGCTATCGAATTCACTCATTCTTGCAGTGAATTTGATAAATAAGAACACATAATTTTCACTTTATCTCTATTTTTCTCAGGGAAATTAACACTTGACATTTTCAATTTAAAAGTGAAAAGGAATGATGGGATCCCGACCTTGAACAATCTGATTAGTCCTAGTGCAACGTTTTCAATATCTTTATATGCATGAAGTTACTATAAACTTCACCAGTGTTCAAATAGTAGTTCTTGAACTATTAAAAAATTACTATGTGCTTATGCTTTCATTAAATACAATATCCCACTTCAAGCCACAAGAAAGAAATTCAAAATGGTAAAGAGTGAAATCTTCCTGAGAAAGAATGGAACGGGACATTAAAATTGGAATGGAACTTTGTTTGCTAGTGATGGAAAGCTGCAGAGACTTGTGCAAAGTGGAACATTCTTTGTTTGGACCTGGTGGTTCCTGATTATTTAGTTCCGCTATGTTGGTCTTATAGTACCTCTCTCTGTTTGGAGATTTTGCACCTTATTTATCATATCTTTCAGCCATGGAATTTTTTTTTTTTTCATTTTAATTACAAATCCTAAAACTTCTTCCATCAATTATAGTGATCTTGAATCAACTCAAGTCTTACATCTAATCTAATTGGTTAATTAAATTAAACTCAGCATCATTAAGCTTTTGTTTTGGATGGTGAGGACTAATCTGGAGTTTATTCTTCTTAATTATTAGCATGAAAACAACCTCACGGAAGATACTTAGCACAATACAAAAGCAGAATTCCAAGGAATCTGAAATCTGGAAAATAATAAAAAGGAGACAAAAAGTGGCAAAACTAACCGCCTTAGCAAACTCAATCCTAAGAGGGTTGCCAGCGAGAGGAAAACCCTGGAGAGACTTGATGGCCGCAATCGCATCCTCTTCGTCTTTAAAATTAACAAAAGCATAGCTGCGTCCCGGCTGGAATGCAACGCTATCCAGGTCACCGAACTGCAAGAATTGATCCGTCAAATCGGTCTCTACTAGACTGTGAGACAAATTTCCCACCCACAGATGTCTCGACGGCGGATTATTCCCTCTCTTACTGTTACTATTATTCGATTCGAATCGAGAAGAGGAAAAATCTCTTCGAAATCGGTCTCTGCCTACTCCTCCTCCGGGAACTCCTCCTCTACTAGTCTACAAAACAGAGTGAAATTCAAAGGATTAATTAGTGACCAATAGTGTTAAAAAAAAAGTCGGATTCTGTGATCGATGGTGGCGAGGAAGAGAAACTGACCATGGCGGCGGCGGTGCTGGTGGATAAGATGTTTGTGAATCGGAATATTGAGATGATCAACAATCAGTCACGCAAGGAGTAGTTCAAACGACGCTACAAAATTTTACGTTTTTTTTCTTAATTTATATATACGTATTATTTAGGGTTTGCAAATAAGAAACGCCTCCTCTTCTTCCTTCTTTCAGCTGTCAAACAAATTATTATATCACCGCCACAAAATTGGACGCATTTTACTATTCATCGTATAGCTGGATGACGTGCTATGTGGCAATTTGTCACTCCACCACCTCTTATCTTAAAACAAAATTAATAATAAAAATAATTTTAATATATTACAAATGTAATACAAATATTGAAAATAATTGTTTTCCGTTGTTATTTTTTCAATATTATCTCATAGGTTTTTCAAAAAAAACATTCTATCTTCTGAAATTTTTTTAAATAAAATATAATTTTTACTTTAAGAAATAAAAAATAAGACAAAACTGAGTATATATATATATATAAACACGTGTTGTATATCTAATGAGTCGAGAAATTGTTCTTTACGGTCTCGTATATGAAGGAATCTAATTGTAAGGTTTTCCTTGGGTAGCTGAAGGTCGGGTTTGATATTATGATATAAAAGGTGAATTATTTATGATTATAATTAGAATGTTAAATGTTAAATTGATCATATTTAAAACAGTAAAACAGTAAATTATGCATATATTTTTATAACTTAAATGTTAGTTTTTCAAGTACTTTTACATAATTAACATATGTTGTGTAAATTTTTTTCTCTTATTCATGTTTTTTAGGAGTTGTCACTAATTTTTTCTTTATATATATATATATTAAAACATACAAATTAAAAAAATTAAATACATATATCTTTATATCATAAAAAATTAAAATATTGTATAAATAATCGGTCTATCTAGTAAGCTATTAAAGCATATGTTTCTTATACACACATATATGAATATATGTATGTATGTCAAAATAGCTATAGTTATTTTATTACTCTCATCGTCGTTTTTATCAATACTTCCAATTGCGGTAATTATTATTATTTCATGATCATTGTCGTTTTTATCAATACTTGCAATTGCTGTAATTATTATTATTTCATAATCATTGTCATGACTACCTAATTATTATCCTTCTATTTCTATTATTGTCATCATTTTTTTTTATCAATATAACTATTATAACGAGTATAATATTCACTAAAATTGCATTTGTTGTCGTCAACAATAACATATCTTATGTTTAATTTTTTTATTTTCATGGTTTTACTGACGAAAGACTTAGTTGAAATGCTATAAAGATATAAAAAATCCAATCAATATAATAAATTTTTCAACAACTTAAAAGACTTTGAGATCCGTTGAACCAATATTTGATAAATTTTTACTGTTTTTTTCTTGGTTTACAGATAATAAAAAGCACAATTAGTCTATAATTTACAATATATATAATCTTTAATTTAATATATAAATAAATTAATAACAAATATATTTTGAAAATTATTCATTCAAAGGTATAGTTATTAGCCCATTATTTTTTACTTGAAACCATGATTATCCATTTGGATAGACCCTTAAAAAGAAAAAGAAAAAGCAAGAAAAAAACCCTACTATGGAACAGCCATGGTAATTAAATCAAGTTCATTTATAATGATTATTCTTTTAATTTGTGGATGGTGGTAGCTTCAAGAATGGATGAAGCTAGTGCAATCATAAAAGCAATAATAAAATTACACATTCAAATTGAGAGAAGTAGGGAAAGAGGTTAGTGATATGAATCTAGTCTCGTCATCTGAGACTAGCTAAGCCACAGTTCAGATCGATATGGAACGTATATGCATGCATGGATGTGTTTGTACCGCTAGTGGTACTCTCTCAATCTCCACATCCACCGCAACCACCTCCAGCATTGCCACCACTGCCATCACAGCCACTGCGAGAAATACTGCCATGACAACAACAACAGGCATAGCTGACATTTGTTTTGCCCTTATCATCATCTTCCCTCATGTTACTTTCATCTCTAGCACCCCTACCACACGCAAAAATTACCATCGATATGATAAAAAAAAACTCAAGAAAATTTAGCTAAGTATCAAAATGCTAGTATTTGAGAGATTATTAGCACCAGCTTTCAAAGTTTCCAAGATTCGAACCATTTTCAGTATCGATGTACTACTCTCACAATTCTTTTATATACAGAGAACGCAAATTAATAAAGGCTTTGAAGAACCATCCAACCTGAAACTTCATTTTAACACCAAGTTCATTGTTTCTTTCCTTCAACAACAATTAAATTTTGAGGAGGGAAGCTTCCTAATATAATCCTACTAATTTGTTTGTAAATAGCTAGGAGCAACATAAAGGGCTAGTTTCCAATTGTATTATATTTTTTGTTTTAGTGCCACACACACATCCATGTACGTAATAATTTGAAGGGAAGAAACAGGATTTATATTATGTCTTTGTGTTTTTTTCATACTGAAAGACAATATTTTGAGATACAGCAGGTCATATATATACTCTCAGAAGATTAAAAATGTGATACCTGATCATTTAGGCTAGCAACTTTTTGTTGAAAAAAGATCAGGCAAATTCATTAAGCACCAAGTCAAGCTTGGAGTAAAAGAAGAACAAAAAACACTTACATACGTAAGGGAGCTGGAGAATGCAAACCCAAGAGCAGCAGGAAACAAACGTAATAGAAAAATGATATCCAGCCTAAGAATAGCTCAAGAAAAAAAAAAAAGTAATTGGAAAATGATATACAATATTGGAGTGCTTAGACTATTACACAGTCCAGGCTATTGTGTAAACAAAGAGCAAACAAGTGTGCACGTTGTACAAGATAGTTTCCTTCACAAAATTATAAAAAAGACCTGCTGATACTAACCGGTATGGACAGTGACTAGCTTAAAGATAAGATAAATAGGTGTTTGATGTAATATATATATATATATATATATATATATATATATATATAACTTACTGTGGTTCTCTTACTTAATCACCATCACAAGTACCATAACCTCCGCCACAGCAACCGATATCGATCTCGACCTCACGTTTTTTCTCACCCTTATTTTCTTGATCTTTTTCGCCAACAGCAACCTCCTTACCATTATTGCTGGTCACATAAAACACAGATACAGATGATTGGAATCCCTGAACAACAAAAAAAAAAAAATTATAACTACAGTAGGGTCCATCCAGGGGCGGATGGACATATAGTCCTACAGTGGCTCGCCCCCAAACCCCCAACACCCCCCTCCCCACACACACAACTTATTATTTTTTTTTGCCTATACTAAAAGGTAACGTACAACCCCACTTCCCCTAACTTCTTTATTTATTTTTTGCCCTAAACTGAGTAACAAACCCAGCCTGACAGTCTTAAACTTTTCTATTTTTTTCCTAGACCGGGTAACAAACCCCACCTGGTAGCCTCTAATTTTTTTTTTTTTTAATACACTTATGCGCAATCCTATCCCTACCTTACCCTACACTTCAAAAGAAAAATATACCAAATAGCACTTCTGCCGCCATTTGACACAAAACAAGCATTACTTCAGTTCTTTTTTATTTTTATTTTTTTTCCTACACTAGAGCAAGGCAAACCCAACCCTCTTTAATGTTTTTAATCTTTATCTTTAGTTTCCTCACAAGTACAACTTAACCTTTAATATTTATTTAATTTGATCCCAGTTATCTTCTATCATTACTAAATTTATTCCTTCTTCCCTTTTTCTTAACTCTTTCTATATTCAAAACATTAATTTTTTTTTTAATTTGGACTTTTCTTATTCGACAATACAAGCAAGTATTTTCTCCGATTTGGATTAATATACTAGATTCTCAATTGTTTGTTTGTTTATAATAACGATTTTTCTTATTTATATTTTATAGGTTTTATATTACTAAAGTGATTATTTTGAAATATTCTCAACTTATTAATGGAGCGACTATCGCTACTATAATCCTTGATATTTAGGCACATATACTAGTAAGCCTAGGGGGTGGCTCCCGGTTGACCTAGGTGGTGGTCTATTTATGTGTTTTGCTTGAAAATTTGAATATCTTATTTACATTTTAAGTGAATTTGTAATTTATTACTTATCGCACTTTAGAGTTTGTTACATATTCATATTTGCAATTTATTTTTATTGTAGATGAAAAAGTCACATACGATCGATGCATTCTTTAAAAAGAAGAATGTTGTCATTTTAAACTTTAATGAGGAGTCAAATTCTTCTATTGATCCCGATCCTTTGAATTCTAAAAATCCTCCTACAAAATCTCAAAAATTTGAAATCAAAGAAGAATTTGATGTCAATTTATTGGAACGTAATTCGAGATTACGACCATAAATATGACAAGTATCATATTGACAAACGTGATGAAGTTTGAAGAGCCTATATTAATGTTGGTCCATGTCAAGCATATGTTTTCAAATTATCCAAAATCTAGAGAAAAGCATCATCGTAGTTTTCAAACATCATGGTTTAAATTATTTCTATCATGGCTAGAATATTCTCCAATCAAGCATCATTTTATCTATCGTGCTATTTATTTCACAAACCAAATAGATCTTTTGGATCAAATGCATTTACTCGTTAATGGATTTTGATCATGGAAGAAAGTTAGAGATGGTAAAAAGTATGCATTCTTAGCGCATTATAGAAAATATCCTACTTCTCCTCATATAGACATGGTAACGAGTTCGATTCGAATCATAAACCGAACCAAAATCAAACCGTTAAAAAATCAAATTGAAACTCGTTAAAATTGTAACCTTAACCAAACCGAATAGTAACCGGCTACCTACGGGTTGGTTATGGTTTAAGGTATCATGAAATCGAAACCGATGGTTCTAAATCGACGATTAACCGTAGAACCGGCGATTCCACATCCGTCCTAATAAATTTGGGATGGGTAAGAAAAAAATAAAAAAATTTAAATAGAAAACCAATTTTATATGGGCCGGACATTAGC